CCCTCTCCACCCTTCCTCTCATCCCCGCTGCAAATGAGGTCGTGGTCCGGTCTCCCCTCACCTCCTGTTCACCCAGCTGGGGGGCTGTGAGCTTCGGTCGGTGAGCCTCAAGGGAGAAGAGGACAGGCGGGAACGGAAATGAAGAACTTCTACACACGACCATGGGCATGAACTAAGGGGGGATTGCTGGAGGGAAGGGGTATGGGGTGGAGGGGGCCCAGGGGGAATAATTGGGACAACTGTAATAGCATAATCAATACAATATACTTAAAAAAAAGTAGAGAATTGAAAAAAATGACTTCTTTCGATCCTCTTGTTTTGGGGACGCCTGACCCAACTTGAGAAACAGCCCAAGCTGAGGCCGTGCCTGGGGACAAGTTCCCTTCCCCGCCTGCTGGCTCTGGGCCACGGGAGAAGCCCTGGGTTTACCCGGCACCAGTTAGGGTGTCGCTAAACCAGCCACCGCAAACCAGACACTAACAAGAACCCGGTGGGGTTTGGGGTGATGTCTGTAGACCCTCTCTCTCCAACACACCCACGCCTTTCCCCCCCAGTCCTCTGGGGTCTAGTCCGTGCCCAGGAGCTGGGGTGTATCCGTCCCTGTCATGATGTCCGTGGAAAGACCCTTTGGGGGATTTTGAACGGAAACTGTTCCAACAGTTCTGACTAGCTGGGCATGAAGGCAAGAGGTTGGCTTTCAGGAAGTCAAGAAAGATTCTCTCTGTCCCCAAAGAAGATCCCTGTGAGGACCATGGCCTGGACATACCCAGAGCCACAGGTCCCTTATTCCTGCGGTAGAGGATGTCATTAGAGAGAGGGCAGCCCCCACACCCACGCCGCCTCAGGTGCTATCCACCCTGAGCTCCAAGCTAGGACGGGAAGACTCAGCATCAGAGGGTCCTGAAGGGAGCCCAGCCCATTGCCGCAGCGGGCTGGGTGCACACCCAAAGGCCACAGTCAGCCCAACCACAAGGCATCTGCCTGCTGCCCACCCCAAACTCATTTCCAGGTCCCTCTAAATTTCGGTTCTTGCACCACAGCTCCCCGCACTCCCAGGGGGCTGCCATTGAGCCCTGACCCCCATCTCCAGTCCCCTGATAGTAACAAAACCCTATCAGTGGAGAGAAGGGGGAGGCACGCCTTCAGAGGAAGGACACGGCAGCACTGTCATTGAAAATGAGTTGCGTGACCGTGGAGTGTCAGAGCGAGGGTTAGCGTGATTAGCGTGACAAGTACATTTGCCACGACTCCACTGGAGCTTTGGAATTGGGAGGGAAGCAGGGTGCAGGGAGCTCCTGGCTTTGTTCAAGGGGGATGGGGCCGTCCACCCCAGGCTCAGAAGCCAGGGGCCCAGGGCTGAGGCCTCAGGGGCCTCAGCACCTTGGACAAGGACCGGGCACTGAGCTGGCCTTTAATCAGCAGACACCTGGTCTTCTCCGGCCCCAGTGCCTCTTCCTGGAGCTTCACAAACCTCATCTCACTGAGGCAGCATTCTCATCCCCTTTACAGCTGGGGGAGACAGACACACGGAGTTGTGAACTGACTTACTGGTTGGTGAGGCGGGGATCTGAACCCAGGAAGGCTGGCTTCAGCCTGTGCCCTGACATGCCATCTTCCTGCCCCCTAACGTGGGCAGCTGGTAGGGCCATGGGGCCTCAGTAGTACCAACACCCTCTTTATTACATTTACATAAAATAACGACGTGTACTTGTGTGTGCATACATATATATAATCTGTACCTGCACGCATCTACATATATGCATAAATAGGCACATGCTTACATGTAAATGTATATTTATAGGGACCATGTGCACATATATTTCAGTGCCTCCAGTGGGCTGGGATACACGTGACCTGCCCCAGGCCCGTGGTCAGAGAGAGCGGGTGGACACGGGGGGTCCTCTGCCCTCCCCCCGGGAAGGCACTCGTGCTGGCTTTCTGCAAACACGCCCCAAACCCACGCTCTCTGCTGCCAGATAGAGCTTCCACCTGGGCTCGGAATCAAGAAGCGAAAGGTTACACCTGTGGAGCTAGAGCACAGGTGCAAACACAAGGCCTTGTTTTCTACCCGGCTGCAGCACCGAACTCTCACGTAACTGCTAAGGAGAGGTTACACTTACACACTACTAAAATTACCTTTGGCCTCCTGAAGGCAACCACGAGGCTGATGTGGCTCCTGGTGACAAGGAGTTCGACACCCCTGTAGGCTGACAAGGTGTCCTTGGTTCCAGAGAAGAACGTGAGCGAAGCGGCCCCAAGGACTGGTAGCAGCTTAAGAAAGTCACTGGGGGTTGAGCCCCCAGCTTCCTGTCTCACCACCCACAGCACGCAGTTCTCTGCCCCTGTGGAGACAGTGCCCAGCCCACCTGCAGGCACCCTGCTCACCATTCAGCAGAGAGAGCAGAAATGGAGAGAAAGGGGGAAGGCAGAGGCTGGCCTTCTCCTCCCTCCCTCCCGCTTCCTTTGGAAGAGAGCAGCCTTCTCAGAACCCCACCCAGACGTTCTGCCCTCCTCTTGCCTCCCCTGGGGTTGACAGAGCACGTAGTAATCAGTGGAAGCAGTTGACCAGAAGATAATGCGGGCACTGTGGCCACCAGGGGGCACCGACATGCACTTCTGCTGCCAGGCGGAGGAGGGAAGACAGGGCTGAGGCTTCGAGCCAGTGTGTTGGAAGCCTCCCCACTTCCCCGGACCCGGGAGCTGGGAGCTGGCACGCCCCCCGTCCCTCCAGCCTTAGGTTAGCACAGGAGCACATCAAGAGGCCAGCCCGGACGCCGAACAAGTGGAGCACAGAAATCACATGGCCACAGGTGAGGGCAGGAGAGGTGAAGAACAGAGGCAGGGAGACTAGTTAGGAGCCTCAGACCAGCCCAGGCCCCAGGCAAAGGGCAGAGCCTGTGCAGAGAAACGCTGTGAAGACTTCCCAGGAGCCAGGGGAAGGATTAGTTCCATGTTGGGGGCCGGGGAGGCTCCGTGGGCCCGAAGGCATTTCAGCTTCACTGGAAGAAGAAATGAGATTTGGGAAGCTCCCACCCAAGCAGCTCCTGCACGGTTACGACTCTGGAATCTGCAAGAAGCCAGTCTGAGTGCTGTCCCTGCACGTGTGGGCACAGGCGGACTCAACTGCTGTTTGGAAACTGCGGGGAGTCTGGGCGTGGGGTGGCAGCTGGGGCTCTATTCGAAGAAGCTGTGGCTATGAGGACACTTTCCACCAGAGGGCAGCAGAGACGCATCGTCTGACAAATGGGTGCCTCTGGCAGGTCTGGAGATGAAGGATGAGCTCCGAGCATTGTTGAATTTTGTCCAGTGGAGGAAGCAAGGATGGCTCAGTGCTGAAGGACTCAGGCTCTGGGGCCAGGCTGCCCAGGCTCTGCTCCCTGGTCTGTCGCAGGCTCCAATCTCCTTGGTTACTTTCATGCTCTACTGTCCCCATCTTTTTTCTTTTTTTTTTTTAAAGGATTTTCTTTCTTTATTTTTAGAGAGGAAGGAAGGGAGAGAAACATTAGGTTGCCTCTCACACGCCCCCTACTGAGGACCTGGCCCTGCAACCCAGGCATGTGCCGGGGAATCGATCCAGCAACCCCGTGCTTTGCAGGCCAGCACTCAATCCACTGAGACACACCAGCCAGGGCATCTTCTGAATAACTTTTAAAATAAGGGGGTTTTATTTTTGCACAGCTAATCATGTAGCTGGTCTTATCTGTCATTGACTAGTTAAGTTTTCTTGTGTTAGTCTTCATAGGGTTGATACCAAGTATATACCTCAAAGGGCTGCTGGGAAGATTGTTAGAATTAATCTGTAAAATAATTTATTAGGAAGACACCAAATTTCAGTTACTATTATTATTGTAGCATTCACAGGTATAGTCAGTCACCAGATCACCAAAGGCTGCCAGCCACCTCCACCTTGTAAAGAGGTGCCAGCCGGCCATCTAGCCATCCATGGACCTAGTCCCATTGCCAAACACTTGCTGAAAGACCATGAAAAGGAATGTGACCTTGGTGCTGACACTAAGGAGCCCACAGCCTGGCAGCAAAGCCTCTGGTCACTAGTGAACTTTCCTCCCTTTTTTATTCCTGGTGCCCGCGTACACAGGAATGCCAATGAGCCGACAGCCACCGGCACTGAATTGTTCCTGCCACCGGGATCTGAAGACCAGCACCAGCTCCTTCAAGTGTGCTGGGCGGCAGCGGCCCCAGCCTTGTAGCCTCGGACAGGGCACCGCTCCCTCGGAGCCCACACCTGATAGGGAGAAGCACCGCCCTGCTCCGGGCCTGTAAGAGGAAGTGTGGGCCGTGAGCACGAGGCACCTGCTGCCCAGGGCTGTGTGTGATGGGTGCCACCTGTGGGAGAGTTCTCTATGGGCGTCACCCTCTCGCCCACCCCTCTGCTCAAGTCTCGGCCTCTCAGGGCTGCCAGGATGAGGGGAAATGTGTTTCGTGCCCTGGAGCCGGGGCTGTGGGCAGATGGGAGGGGCAGGCGGCAGAGAGTGTGGCCAAAGAGTCAGCTGTGCTCCTGCACGGAGGGGTCCGTCAACCGTGCCCTGGCAATACAGTAGAGAAACCCCCATCCTGGGGGTGAGGAGGCCCCTGGTTGGCTCCGGCAGTTGAGACAATAACTTTGGGGTGACTTGGAGCCAGGTCCTTGTGGTCTCTGGGCCTCTCTGTGTCCGTCTGTGGAAGTGAGCAAGTGCCCATCCTGGTGCCCTTCCAGCTTGGATCCATCGGGGACACTACCAACGCTCGGCTCGTGTCCCCGCTAGGCTCACGGCTCCCGCATGCACTGGTGGCTTCTCTCCACACACACCTGCGGCTCTGCCTGCAGGAGGACTTCCTCCGGGAGGCAGGCCACGGTGCCGGGAAGAGACGCCCTTGAGGATGACAGTGCGCATGTGCGGACCACCCCACCAGAGGCACTCCCTGCCCATGGCGCACCCCCCTCCCCTCCAGCGCCCCCCAGGAGGACGGGTTAGTCTCCAGCTCAAGACACAGACACTGACTTGGTCACCGAAAGAACATTCTTTCCAAAGTTGAAGCCACGGGTACAGAAACCCCTCCTCCGTGGCCCCTGCCCACTCCCACCCGACAGTAAGCTGCCTCTAGGGCCCACGGAAACCTTCCTGTAGAATTAGCCCTAAGTCCCCCCAGCTCTCTGAGGCCAGCGGGGCCTCCTGTTCACAGCTCAGTGTGTTCTGTCTCGGGTGGCTTCTTGGCCGCATCCTTAGCAAAGAACTCCGTCCAGAAAGCCACTTCCTTATCTTTCAGCTTCTGGGCCGCCTGGGTGACGACGCCAATCTGCAGGTACCCTTCCTTCTGGTCGTACACAGGCCAGTGGGGCAGCCCCTCCCCATTGGGGTTCCTGGGAACAGAAAAAACATCAAATAGGAATGCCCCAAAGCTATTCAGAGGTTTGCCGGGCCCCCCAGCTTCACCAACCCGAGGAGGCTCGCGCTCCCACAGACGGGAGCCTGCCTCCGCATGTCCCGGGCAGCCTGGCCCTTTGTGGTCAGAGGTCCCCGCCAGGAGCTGGACCAGCAAGCGCTGGGAGCTACCCTTCCCGACAAACACGCCCTGGCAGGTCCCAGCCCTGCTCCGTTTTCGCTCACCCATTTCGGGCAAAGTTGGCCCAGAATTTCATCACCATCTTGCTGAGTTGCATCTCCTCTTCTGAGGCCCCGTCTGGAGGAAAGAGGGGGAAAGGTTTTGTCACCTGGAGAGTGTTCGTGGGCCAAGGGTGGCCACACCACTTGTGGGCTCGTTAAAAATCCAGGATTGGAGCCCTTCCTCCAGACCCACTGAGCCACAAGCTACGTGTGAAGGGGACCCGGGTCACTGGTACACACACACTTCCAGGTGGAGCACCAGCGGCCAAGGCCGCGGCAAAGGGCTGCAGCCCAGGCACAAGCCAATGGCTTTGTTTTGCACCTGCTGGTCCTGCCCCCCTTCAGAGTCGCAATGCCACACCGGCTGTGTGCCAGGGTTTCCACCACCCACCTCCCAGGATTGTCCTTTCATGGGTGTGTTCTCAATCTCTGTCACCACCCACATTGTCATAGAACTAAAAAGTAACCATGAGCTTAAAGAGCCATCCGCTCGAGGTACGACCCTGGCCCGTCCCAAACGCCCTTGAGGTGGGTCACACAGGTCCTGTGCAACTGCTGACAGATGAGCCACGTCAGACCCTTGTGAGAGGTCATCTGTAAAATTTTGTATTCCTAAACAGGGTCTGGCATGAATAATGCCCCTGTTTTATTACACAATCGTTTATTATAAAAATCACAGGTGTGTAATTCTGGAGCAGAACAACATAACACTCAAGCACACCACGTGACATTTTAGGTGAAATGTGCAAATTAAAACTATAAATTATTAACACCCATATTATTACCCTACCAACCACACTCTAGTAGGCATTACTTCTGCCGGATCCTACATATTGACTTTGTTAAAAATACGAGTTTTAGATGACAGAGAGATGGCTGGGCAGGTAGACAAGGGACATACATTAGCCCTGGTTCACGGTCAACACCAACGCCACCCTGCTGTCGCATTCCTTCTGCTCTCTTCTTGCGGGTGGGAAGTGACAGGTGACCTTCCAGTGCTTGACTGGGGCCCCATCTTACTGACACCCAAGTCTGGAGTCTCACAGTGACCAGGAATAAGGGCACATGTATGCACATGCTCCATCACACATGTTGGAGCAAGAGAAACATGCATGATGGGGTCTGGACCTTTATGGTACATTCAGGAAACTAAGGCCTGGAGGGAAGGGGCTACTTTCCTGGGGCCACGGGCCAAGCCTCGGCCCCCGGCCCCTCGACTCCGAGCATGCAGGGCCGTCACCTTTTAAAAACGGGGCCCCGAAGACGGAGAAGAGCTCGTCCCCGTGGTCTGCGATCACCGTCTCGGGCTTCGTGGCAAACGAGAAGCTTGGGCGGTACTGGAACTCGTACATATAGGTGGGGGCTCCAGCATCTGGGGAGACAGGATCGCCGCACAGGTCACTTCACCAGGTGCACTCCGAGCTGACTCCAAGGTCTCCCGGGGCCCCGCGCACAAAACAAGCATGTTAACGGCAGCTGTTCGTTGTGAGTGCCGGCTGTGTGCCAGACGGTGCCCCCCAACCGAACTCTCAGCACAACAGAGAAGCGGAGTTTCAGGAAAGGTCCATGAATTGATTAAGGGTGCACAGTGGGTGCAGGTGGCACATACTTGAGGCCGGTGTTAATTGAATGAATGAATGACTTAATGGGTGAATGAATGAATATCAAAACCTTGGGAAAATCCATTTGCAGTAACAGAGCACTGGGTCAATCCACACAAACCCCTTTGCCTTCCGATGCGTTCACACGAGAGCATGGCACACGCACAGTTTACTGTGCCTCACTGAGAACAGACTACTTTTCCTTCCTTTGAAGAATACCTGCAGTCCAATGGTACCTCTTGGGGACAGTAAAAACTTGGAAAATGCTGAGAAAAGGAAAATGAACCAAAAACATCACTTAGCCCACCACTCAAGAGAGACCACTGTTAGTATTTTAGCATGCATCCATCAATTTAAATCAAGTTGTGATAATACTGGATATGTGTTCTTATAACGACTATAATAATTTCTTACATCATTCAATATTCATCCACAAAATTATTCTAGATCCCAACTGAGGGGGGTAGAATCATTTACTTAATTGCCCCCCTCGCCCTCATCCTTGCCCCCTTGGTGTAGCAAGAAGTATCGTCTGGAAGAAGTGATCCTTCTTGGTTCCATAATCTCCTTGTTAAACAGCTTCCTGGAGGTCAAGTTAACCTTGCCTCTGCCACTTAGCAGTTTTAAAAAGGAACTCAGTCCCTGGCTGGTGTGGCTCAGTGGAGTGGGCACCAGCCTGCAAACCAAAAGGTGGTCATTTCGATTCCCAGTAGGGACACATGCCTGGGTTGTGGACCAGGTCCCCAGTAGGGGGCAGGCAAGAGGCAACCAATGAATGTTTCTCTCCCTCTTTCTCCCTCCCTTCTACTCTCTCTCTGAAAATAAATAAAATCTTGTAAAAAAAAAAAAAGAGAGAGAGAGAGAAAAAAAGGAACTCAGGACCCAACCATAAAGGAAAGAATTTTTGTGAATGAGAGAACTTATTTTCGGCCTAAACATGCTGCTGCTGATGATATTATTATGACTCCTCTTCTTCTCCTCTGCCCACCCCACTGAGACGCATCGAGCTCCTGCAATCCCAGCACAAGCCTGCAGGGGGACACGGGGTGCGGATCTGGGGAACGACTAGGAACAAGAGGAGAAGCAGACTGAAGGGTAGAGGCAATAATCAAAATCCACACATCCTAATACCGTGATGGCCTTTTTAGGGGCGAGAAGGGGCTTATAAAATTGGTATCGTTCTTTTAATTTTTTTAATCCTAGCAGGTCAAGTGAGAGACTTAAGAAATCCTTACTCTTACAGGCCGGAAACCAGCATCACCATCCGTGAGCCAGATTAGTTTGTGGCATCGCTAACGACTGGTCCTCAGAAAGGCAGAGGGGACCCGGTGGAAGGTTGATGCCCACAGGGCAAAGCAAAGCATTTTTTCATAGCATCAAAACAAAAGCCAGCAGACTCAGCATCTGAGGCAGACACACGGAGGTAAATTGTAATCCATGAAGAATGGAGGTTTTGATGACTTTTTATTGTCATTGAGGTCGTGCCTGCAACAATCAATATGAAGTTAATTTTCAAATTGTAGGTGAGACGTGAAAAGACTGTAGAAGAAAATATTGAACATTTATAGCAGATATTTCCAGGGAAAGGAATTATGATTGCTCTCTAGTCTCTTCTTTCTATGTTCCTGTGTTTTCAAAACTTTCTACAACTGAAAGGTATACATTTTATATTCAGAAAAGTTTTTTTAAATCAAAAAGAATGAAACAAATACAAAAATAGGAGAATAACACTGATAAAAATCTGTGTAGACCTGGCCAAAAAAAAACCCTACATTTAAAGTCAAGAGAAATCAGATGAACAAAACACAGGTCCAGGTTGGGATCAGCAAGTAATGCAGAAGGGGACACGGCCAACTGGACACAGAACGAGAGGCAAGGCCAAGTTTATGAAAGAACAGATTCGCCCCTTCCTCGGGACCCTGCGGGGAGGAGGCAGTAACCAGGGCGTACGTCACTGCGCCGAGTCCTTGGAAGCTTGGCTCCTTTCTATCACTGTGTCAAGTTGAAGGCCCCCGGCACCATTAGAGAGAGAAGCAGGGGCCACAGCACCATTTCTGGGCTTGCAGACTAGGTGCTGGGCAGGGGGCGGCCTCCAGGAAGAGGAAGGACCCCGAAGGCCGCCTCCTCTCCAGGTGAGCTCACCCATCCCTGCCTTCAGGCTCCACCCACAGTGTAGGGTCACTGTCGAAGGTTCCTCGCTAACGCTGACCATGGACGTGGGCATTCCCCGGACCACCTGTCACCCCACAGTTCCCACTGCCCGCCCCTTTCGACTTGCGGGGTCCCAGACAACCCTCCTGGGTGTCCCAGTGCTTGGTCTCCCTCTTTCCCCAGCTCTACTGGTTAATGAGCCAGTTCACACTCAGCTCTGACCTTGGAGACCTTCCAAGACGCATCTTCCAAGATTAGCCCTCTGACCCCACAGACCCCAGGACTTCAGGAGATGAGCCCCCAGCGCAGAGGCTGTCGGTGGGCCCCCAGTCCCTGCGTCCGGGAAGGTCAGCCTCACTTCACCTCCCGTGGCCGCACCCCTTTACCTGTGATCTTCAGCCGACAGAGACCACTCTGCCCAAAGCACAGGAGGCCAGAGCTCCAGGGAGTTAACACCCTCCCGGGAACAGCCTTGAACTGAGGACTCAGGCCGCTTGTCACCAGGGTAACCCCCAGACCTGTCCTCTGCTGGATCCCCAGAGCACCCGGCTCCAGAGGTCCGCGTGGGTCCTTGCTTGACCGTGCAGCGTGACGGCCCCTCTCTCCCCACATCACTTCTCTGCTCTTCCACTGGTGTTTCTGGGGCCCCCTCCAAACACACTGGTTGAATTTGGGGCCTCTTCTCAGAGTCTGCTTCTGGCAGAAATCAAAATAGGACAGTGCCTTGCCCCCCAGGCCACTTGGAATCAGCCTACAAGGTCCGACCTTCAGCAGTTTGCACACCTGTGTCTATGGGGGGGATGGGTCGGGGAGGGGGCAGGACAGAAGGTGGCGGAGCTGGTGTCCCTTCGGTTCAATCTCTGGGACTCACCTCTGCTGTGACGGGCCACAATCACAGATGGAAAACAAAATAGCAGGTCTCCCATCAAATCCAAGAACCGGTCTTTCTTTTTGACGGGATCATCCGTCCCTCCTAAATACTTCTCAATGGCCACTGGAACCAGTTCCTCAGAGATGCCCTGAAGGGGTCAAGAGTGAAAGTGACCACCATCTCCTGGTGAGTGATGTGGCTCCTGCAGCCAGTGAGGAAGGTTCGTGTCCAGTCCAGGGCCCACCCCTCCCCTCCCCCCATGGTGAAGTGGAAGCCCTCTGGCCCCAGTCTTCACTCTGCCATTTAACTGGTCAGTGATCCGGGGCAATCAATCCCCTGCCCCTCCTTGGGTCCCAGCCAGTTGCCAGGATGCCCTGGACACTTACAACAATGGGATAGGACTTCCACAGGAGTGACGTGGCCATCTCCTGGTCCAGCCTGCCTTCAGAGATCGGGTAACCCATCATCTGTTAAGACAATGGTGCAGCATCGGTGAACCACTGGGGTCACAGGAGGAACCCAACTGACCGACCGACTAAAATCCACGCCGGCCGGAGGGCTTGGCATGTCTTGACGGGCAGGGTCTCTGGTGAGTTGGGCAAAACCAATGCAGGAAATGGATGCGTATCCAGAAGGAGCGCAAAGGACATAAAGCCCTTTGGAACATAATGTGAGCTCGTGTTGAAAGCCTGAGCTCTGGGGAGGACAACGGAGACTCACCAACACCCTGCCCACCCCTGATGACCGAGGAAGCCCTGGGTCCTGCCAGCACAGCTTTGGTCCTTCAGTACAACCTCTGAAACCCTTCTCAAGTGAGCACTGCAGGCGAGCTCTGCACCAAGAGCCCTGGCCTTGCCCCGACACGGCTCCAGGCAGCTTGGGTGGCCCCGAGGATGGCGGACCCCAGACCCCAAGAAAGCTCTGTGCTGCCAGGAGAATTTGCTGTTTGTTCCAGCAAAAGCCTCGTGATAGGCAGATAGGTCCCTGACACCCCCCTTAGAGCTGTTTGCGGGCATGAACCCCGCTCTGCCCTTGGAGATGTAAATCTGCTACCCAAAGTGTTTGCTCAGGGACAGGAGAGCCACCCGTCTGCAGGGCAGACATTCTAGGGATGACTCGTGCCCTCTGCCCCGGTCCCTGTGGGCAGAGAACCCCCTGACGTCGGTGAGTGCCCACCTTGCTGTGACATGCAACTCAACCTTCTGACCCCCGCCCAGGAGGTAAGGGCCACCCCACAAATCCAGGCAGCTGGGTCACAGGGATGACCCCTGCACATCGGGCCTTGAAGAGGCTCCGCCTTTTGTTTCAGGGTTTGAGTGGAGTTTAAGTGGGTCTTTTCCCTGCTGCAGGGGTGTAACTAGCATCTGGCTCTGTGTTTGATGGAAGGGAAATTCCTTCCTGACTTTCAGAAGTCAGCTTTACTGTGAGGGGAAGCCAGCCCCCCTGAATCTTCCCAGGTGACCAAGAGCACATGTGGAGGTTTGTGCAGACACTGTGAAGTCCAAGGGCAGAGGCTGCGGGGCCCCGGGCCTCACTCCTCTTACTCCTGAACTCTGCCCCTCCCTACTCAGGCCTTGGTTTCCTCATCTGCACAGTAAATCTCCCCACAGGCCCTCCCAGCACCTACACTTCAGGGTTCTTGGACTGGGGACAATCAGAGAGTTTGGGAAAGGGGTCCCCAAGACTTCACCACCCAGGTGTCAGCTGAGCCATTTCAGAGAAGGTTTCCAAGGAAGTGTCAACCCATGTGAAGGGGACAGCTGCCCAGGACCCAGGCGAGGTCTGGAGAAGGAGGCTGTCCCGAGCCCCGTGGTGGAGGCTGTTGGGATGGGCTCAGAGGAGTGGGAGAGGCCCGTGTGGACTCACCGTCGGAAGTATCCAGCCGAACTCCTGCTTGTTGAGCCCGACCATGTACGGGACGGGGTTGAACAGCTTCTGCGCCAGAATCTCTTTGGGCATCTTCGGCAGCAGCACGCCGTCCACCACCGTGGGCAGGAAGGGCAATCTCTGGGGAAGAGGATTGGAGTGTTCGTGCGGCCTGTCCGGGTCACTCTATGTCCGTGTCCCCCTCTGGGCCCGTGTGAGCACCACACCCCGTGGGCAGCGGCCACAGAGCTCCAGGTCCTAACAAGGGGGCGAAGTCTGGGACCCCAGAGGGCAGAACTGGTGAGGGACAGCTGTGGGCAGGTGATGGGGCAATCTCCCTCAAATCGAAATATATAAAAATATTAATATTTGTCTTTTATTAAAAATATATAAGTATATAGAAATCACGGGCATATATATTCCATACATTTCCACTGGAAGTGTACGTGTGCCTGTATGTAACTCTACAGTCAGTCCCCATTGCCCACACCGCTTTCAGTCTGCACAGTTGCTGTGAGCTCCCGATTGGTGAGCCCCGGGCTGCTGCTCCCGGAGAAAACACGGGGGTTGGTTCCTGCAAACCTCCGCTCACAAACTTGGATTTGAAACCTGGCTCTGCCACTTACTAGCTCATAACTTGGGAAAGTAATCTCACCCGCATGTGCCTCAGTTTATCTCGCCTATGAGGTGGGTTGTGGGGATTAAATGACTGAACAGGTGGGAAACGCTCAGGTCGGTTCTCGGGACGTGGAAAGGGCTCGATCAGCATCAGCCACGCTCACGGGCAGGGTCACGACAGGCCCTGCACGCAAACAGCAGCCCTGTGTGCCCCCGCTTCCCTCCCTGCTGGCAGGTGAGGGACAATCAGCACTTGAGCCGAGGTGGCCCCAGGACCTACGTCTGTTCTGCAAGGGCTGATGAACGCAGGCCAGTTCTGGCGGCCCGCAGAGATTCGGTCACCTGCACCTGACCCAGTGGGACAAGGACCCAGATCTTAGTCCAACACAACTGACAAGTGACGACGGAGAAGGACGTGGGAGCCGTCACTGCTCCCAGAAGGCACTGTGGAAGCTGGCAAGCGGAACAAAGCTTTCTGGAAGGAAGCCCCGGGGCAGACCAGTGGAAGGGAACCTCGGAGGCAGGTTCTCGGGAAGGAGCCCCATCGCAGGTGAAGAAAGAAAGGGGCAGGGATTTCCAAACAGTGGCAACTGCAGGGGCAAAGGGACCTCCAGCCCTCAGAATCCTGGGCTTGGGGCCCGGACCAGGGAGAGGCTGGGGAGGTGGCCTGATTTGCACAATGGCTGGTGCATGGCAGACACATAGATTCCTTTAGAAGGAGTGGACTTATCCCTTTCTGTGCTGTAACAAAGCGCAGGGGCGGGGGCAGACCCAGGCTTGTCCTGCAGCTGCTGGAGGCGCAGCAGCAGGAAGGTGGGGAGGGAGGGAGGAAAAGCAGGGGGGGAGTCAAAGTCCAGGAGAGGCCACAAGGGCCAGTCTGATCTGGGCGGCACAGGGACCACCCAGCTGGTGTCTTCCTGTCTTCCCTGTCCTTTCTCTGCTGTCCATTTCAACTTCACAGTCAAAGAGCCCCTTTGTTAAATTTAAGGCCACGTCACTCCTCTGTTCGAAAATCTCCCAAGATGTTCCCCTCTCACTTGTAATCCCAATCCGAGCCCTGTAAATGACCACTCCCTCCCCACCTCCCCTGACCTTTAGCCTCAGCCTGCTTCCTTCCCTCACTCCCTTCCCTCGTTCCCTCCACCCAGCCACACTGGCCTCCTGCTGCACAGCCTTTGCAGTTGCTGTCCCTCTGCCACTGCTTTTCCAGAGAGCCGGCCCCTCCCCTCCTCCAGCTCCCGTCAGCTACTCCCTGAGTCATTCCCAGACCAGGCTATGTCAACTCAAATCGCCGGCAAACGCTCCCTCCATTTCCCACGCTCTTTGTCTCCATATCACAAACCACCCTCAAACACCCTGCAGAGTTTGTGCGTGGTGCTCCCTCCCTCTCTCCAAGAGGGCTGGGGCTTGTGTCTGTTTTCACTGGTGTATTCCCCCCGCTCGACACTCAGGTCCTGAAACACAGTGGGCACCAATGAGATCTGTGCTGAATGACCGAGTAAGTGTCATTTACTCCCCCAGACATCTTCTAAGGGAAGTGCTACCGTCCCCAAGGAGGAAGGAGAGAGGGCAGAATGGTAAGATGGTGCTGAGTTCAGGCCACTGGAACCTGGCAACCCTTTGGGAGGTGGGAGGAGAGGAGGAGGGAGCTGGGGGCTGCTGCAGGAGTTCCCTGCGTGGCTGGGGGAGGGTGGTGTCCTCGGGTCCCTTTCTGATGACCGCGCACAGCACAGCTTGTGCTTTTAGTCAGCCGGGCAGCCCCTGGAGGGAGGCTCCGGAGCAACCCTTGTCCAGATGCCCCCACCTCCCTGTAGTGGGGGTGTCTAGTCCAGCCTTCTCCCCCAGGGGGCGCTGTTGGGAGCAGGCTCCAGCCCTACCTCCTGGGGAGCTGGGTTCCCCAGGCAAGGCACCGCCCCCACCAGGGCCTCAGCTCTATAAACACCAGGAATGTCAAGGAGTCCACAGGAAGGATTCTCGTATTATCTTGAACTGGAGCTTCAAGATTTAAAACCGGTAATCAAGAAAGCAAAGGTCCTTACCTCTCTGGGGTCTGCAGATAAATCAAGAGCGAAAAATTTCTGTGAAAACAAGGCAGAAGAAGCAGGTGAGAAGGCTTCCTGGGAGAAAAGCTGATCTGTACCACCTTGTGCGCAAAGTGTCCGGTTCTCCCTCCTGGGCCCACCCTGACAGACCCCAGAGGAAGTCGGGGGGGGGGGTGGGCACTGGCTGTGTGGGCAGGGGCCCAGGGCCCGGGGGTGGGTGGGGGAGGGGAGCTCAGGAGAGCTTGTCTGCTGTTTGTACCTGCTGGGCCCTCCATCCATCTCCCCTTCTTGTTCCCTCCCCCCTCCACCCCACAACAGTACCCCAATTTTCCTTTTGGGGGACCTCCCTCATCTCCATTCTTGCTCTGTGAACCCAGGCATCTATGTAAGACCTGGGGTGCCCCATCTTCCTGACCACAGGGATTACTTCAGGGCATGGGGCCGATGTCAGGCCAATAGAAGTCACCCCAAAACTTTTGCTAGAATGATTGGGGAAGGGGGTCTCTAAGCAGACAGGAGGTAAGTGTAGAGTGTTTTTGTCCTTTTTTGCCTCCCCAGGGGACAAACCTGCCTGAGAGTGAAACCAACACTGAAAGATAAAAAATGGCATGGAGAGACAGATTCTTATTAATATAGGGGTATCTGGATCCAGCCATGCCTGAAGCTATCTTCTCCTGAACTTTTTAGTAATCTGAAGATTCCGTTACAACACAGTCCTTTTTCTGCTCAAGGCAGTTTGTAGAGTTTTCTCATCTCACATTAGAACGTCCTGACTCACACAACCTTACTGAAATTCACCCCGACCCATGCATCCTGTTGTGTACCCTCCCCAAGGCTGCGCTGACTGTGAGGCTACACTGTAGCTAAAAGGTTGGACCAGTAGGCAGGAACTAACTAGTAGGGTCCTTCCATTATGGGCTGCGGTTCTACCTGCCAGGTGTGTATGCGGTGTGTGCGGGTGCTGGGGAGAGCGGGTTAACATGGAAAGACTTCCACGTGATCTCAGAAAACTTCAGAGGGGAACAGGGGCCCTCGGCTTCTTTGGATTTTCCCAGAGTCCCCAGTTCTCCCCTTGCAACCTCATAAGCTGGGTCCTCTTGCAACACAAAAGATAAATGTGCCTCTTTCCAAGCATCAGAAAACAGCTGTGTTTTGATTCTTTGTATATACTGGTTACCTTATTAGAGCCTGAGAAACCAGGACCCAAGCCCTAAGGCTACCCTGGATTCGACCCGTGGGAACAGAGCAGAGTTCGGTGCAGAGGCCTGCCCGGGGCGGGGGTCCCGGCGTGTCTGCAGGGGCCCAGGACTCACTGCAGGCAGTGAGTCCAGAAATTCAGGCTACCTTGGGACTCCCGCCTCCCCACACAAAAAGGGAGAGTCCCATTGGCCCGAGACGCTGTGTTCGCTGGGTGCTGGCCCTGCTGTAGCTTCTGTGTGGTGACCCATGCCACAGCCATCCATCTGTCCTCAGGTGTCACCTTCTCTGTGAAGCATCCCTGCTGACTGTAATGGGTGGCCCTCTTCTCTGTACTCCCGCCACACGGGTGGGTGGATAGATGGGTGGGTTTGGTCAATACATGGCGTGTGTATTGGATGGCCGAGTGGATAGATGGATGATGACCTGACGGGTGATTCATTCAACTCCAGAGGGATGAATGATGCGTGGAGATGTATGGTGGCTAGATGAGGCATGAATGATGGATAACAGATAAATGCAAGTGATGGACAGATTGGTATTAGAATAATGAAAGGATATGGATGAATCAGATGTATTTGTGGATGGACAGAGAGATAATACGATGATGGGTGGACATGTGGATGGTTGGGTGGATGGACGGATAGATGATGATCCTAAAATCATGGCTGAGGCAGGGGCTCAGAAAGTCTAGAAAACTGGGCAACCACTTGCTTACCATTGATCAGTTCTAAACTAGCCAAGATACATTTTGACCTTTCTGGAAATCTTTGTTCTTAGTACCTCCACTCCCCAAATTCAGGATGGTCATTACCTCTGGGAAGAGATAATGCTTTGTTTCTTAAAAAGAGCTCTGAAGACAAGAGTGGCAAAATAGTCAATTCTGACAGAGCCGGAGGATTATTACACTTTTGATTGTCATGTTAGTTTTGGACTTTGCTAACATTTGACATATCCCATTAAAAAAGAAAAAGAAAAAAGAAGTTCCCCCTTTAGATTTAGGGGTGACATCCCTCCTGAGAGATGAGACACAGGCCCCTCTCTGGGAGTTTTTCTGGGGCACACGGGCAATTGAAATGGTGAGGCCCGGGACCAAGTTCATGGCAGGGGGACTGGTGTGGCCGGGGGCACAGCAGCACTTACCATCTTCATCGACACCTCCAGGAGCTCGTCCTCCGACTTCTGGCGTAGGCAGTGCACTATGGCGGCCGAGGTGGTGGTCTTGCACCCCGCGGAGGTGGCGATTGGCTGCAGAGACCACGGGCAACAGCAGAATTCAAGAGCCCTGTCCCGTCTGGCATTTCAGAACCAAGCTCAACCTCAGTTTCCAAAAGCAGCAGAAAATTCTCCAGCCCAGCAGGTGTGGTCCTGGGTCTCACTCATGCCAATTATACAACCTCTGTCTCAGTTACCTGGTCTCTCTTAAAATGGGCAAAACAGTCTCAAAGCTGACTGTCCAAAGAAGGAATCCAGAATCCCAGTGTCTGGTTTCAAATCTCGGGCCATCCTCTTACTGGCCCTTGGCCTCTAGCAGGCAAAGGGCGGTAAGAGGAGAAGCTGAGATAGAGAGGAAGGCAGGCTCCCCAGGGCGGGCCACGGAGAGCATGCACAGGCTCCCCAGGGCCTAGCAGAGCATCTGAAACAGAATGAGCACTCAGTAGGGGAGGCAGAGAAGGGGGTGGGGAGAAATACATTCAGGGGGGAGCGCAACAGAGCAAGGATAAAAGTCTTGAGTTCCCTTTCATTTTGCCCATTTCTAGTTCCTATTTGGCAGTGAAATTCAGCCCATCTCTGCCATCTGTTTCTTTAAATAAATCCCCCCCTTTCCTGACTTTTAAGCCTGGTCCAGTGGACTCCTGTTGTTCACAACCGAAGAGCTCTGAAAACTGTTCTCAACACCCTCCATGCCATCGTTTCCTCCTTCCTGCTTACCAGCCCCCGGAAGTCTGGCCGCTGCCCTGTCCACTGCACGAAACCACACTCGCAGCCCCACTGAAGTGCTCCCACCCCCGACGCCAGTGGGCACGGGTCAGCAGAGCACCACGCCTGCCCCCCCCACCCCCAGCTCTCTCTCCCTCGGATTCCTAACAGTCGGATCCCAGGGACAAAGTCCTCCCCAGGGTCCAGTGCAGCACGGCCCCTGCCAACATCCTCATCCTCAGCTCGCTCCGCCTTCCCTCTTCTCTTTCTGCTCTGGCCACATCCACCTGACTCACTCTCTCTCACCCAAGCCACTTCCACCTGCCACAGGATATTTGCACGTGTTGTTCCTGCTTCTTAGAACGTTCTTTTCTCACCAAGTGACTTGCTGCTCATCCTTGTGATCTCCACTTACTGATCACTTTCTTCAGGAAGCCTTTCCTGAAAACGCCCCCTGCATACCAGATTAAGTGCGCATAACTGAACGTACGCCATTAAGTACCTCTCCTTATTGCGCACCGCAGTTGACATAACCGTGTGATTATCTATTATAGCCATTAATCTGTCTCCTCCATTAGAAGCGAAGCCTCATAAGGTTGCTAGATGTCTGGCTTTACTAAAGTTATTTGTTGAGTGAGCAAACGAATCGACAAATAAATTCAGACACCCACCGCAGTTGCAAGGCCCACGGGGTGAACCACTCAAGGCCCATAGGCTGCAGGGGGTCACCAGATCTCAGGCCCTTAGAGAGCCCAGGCCCAAGGGCAGTCCACTCGAGGCTCCGGGCCAGCACCCCACCTTGGCACACACTCTGGGGAGGGAGGTTAGTGAACAGTGACTGTGTTGGCAATCCGGAGTTGTGAACTTGAGTCCCAGCTCTGCCTGGTCAGTTGCTGACCTTGGCACGTTGCTGATGCTCTTTGACCAGTTTGCTCAGAAGTAAGGGGTGGGGTAAGAGGGAAAGGTGTTTCCTAGCGTATCTGCTCAGCCATCCTGTGCCTCTCTGAGCATGTGGCTGGATGCCATGGCAACAAAGGCTCTGAGGAGCCCCGGAGAGCAGAGCAGCAGGGTGGGGGCTGTCCAGTGTGGAACGTACCTGGACCATGGCCTTTGAGTCTTCCCTGACCAAGGGGACAGTGAAGGCCACACCACTCTCAGAGATGGCCCGGTGGAAGAGGTTCTTGGCCAGGGGAGATAACACCTGTGGGGAGGGTGGAGAGGGAGAGAGTTTAGGCTCATGGGGAGGGTCTTCGAGAGCTTCCCCAGCTCAGACCCGGCCCATTCCCCTGGGGACCTGGATTCAGTAGACTGGATAGGTGCTGGCCTGGCCTGTTCCTCCTCGGACTGACCCGAGGCCCAGCTTCTCCAAGGAAAACTCAGTGAAAAGCCAGGCCACAGGGTGGGGGACAGAACAGGAAGCGTGTGGCCAGCACTAATTACAATAACCCGTAGCACCTGAAAGACAGTTTGGCCGGTTGCAGTGAACCCTACCCAGGCCCAGTCCCAAGTCCACATTCCCGGGATGAGAGCTTGCCCTGAGCAAAATGACCTCGGGGACACGGTGGTCTCAGAGTGCTCACGCTGTTTGTGACGGGAAACCGGGGCAGTGCCCCAGGTTCCCCAGTGATGGTTTTGGGTAAATCAGCTATTTTCAATTTCGACCACAGAATACTATGCAACTACAAAAAATAAAGTTACGGGATAGTTCTTAATGGTTAGGGAAATATTCATGTTATATTTGTAATGTTAAGGACGCGTTTTTGTTTAAAGAATCATAGACACATGACAGACAGACGACAGAATGAGCCATTGAAAAAGGCGGTAGGATAAGGGTCCACACATCTGTGACGACTGTCCTGGGCAATGAAATTGCGGGTGACACTTTTTTCTTCTTTGGGCTCATCTGCCCTTTTCCTTTCTCCCCACCTTACAGACACGTCACGCCTCCTCTGGGCATTTAACTACACGAGCAAACAAGCGGCAGCCGGAGGGGTTCCTAGCAGCCCCCTCCAGGTCCGGTCCTCCACCTGTGCTTCCCCCACAGCAGGCTCCCAGCTGGTCTGTGTCCCATGTCCCATGTCCCACGTCCCCTGTCCCATCCCCACCCCCTCCCACTTTCCCCTGCGGACCAATCCCCTCAGAGCCAACCCTCACAGCTCCCATCCTGTTGGCATGGAGATCTGGCTTTCCGCCAAATGCAGACACTCTGCTCAGTTCTCCTGGGTGCCTCCTCTTCTTCATCATGTACGCCCACCCCCAGCCCCCCAGAGAAGTGAGGTGAGTCCTAATGTGCAAACGGGAGCTCTTGCCAAGTCAGAAGAAGGGGAATGTTGTGGGCTGGGGGTGGAGATTAGTATGGCCTCAGGGCACTGCTGAGCCCCGAGCTTCCTATGGGCCAAGGAGAGTTGGGCCATTAGCTCTCCACCATCTCATCCTGTGCAGAGTAGGGCCAGCCTGGAACCTGGGTCTTGTTAATGAAACCGCCCATGGCTAGATTGCCTGGTCCCCAAGGGGTCCCATCAGCAGCCACATCAGGGCCGGGGGGGGGGGGGGGGGGGGGACACTTACAAGGACAGAGACACTTTCACCTCCTGCTGACTCTCCAAAGATGGTCACAGAGCCTGGGTTCCCTCCGAAGCTGGCGATGTTCTCCTGGACCCAGCGCAGGGCGGCCACCTGGTCCAAGTGGCCCCAGTTCCCCGGGCAGTGTTCGTCCCCCGTGCTGTGAGAGAGAGAACGGTGTGGGTGGGAGCCGCTCTTCACGCGGGATGCTTGTGGCCACGGGTGGGGCCGGGGGCTCCGGGCGAGCCTTCGGGAACAAGCGGAGGCTTCTGTAGCCCCAACTCAGAGGATTTCGCCTGCCTCCTGTTCCTGCAGCACTGCTTTCCTTAGGGCTCTATGTCCAGCCACCTGACGTTGACTTATCGAGCATCTTCTATGTGCCAGGCACTGTTCTAAAGCTGGAAGCACACGTGAGAACAAAACAGGCAAAATCTCTAACAATCCAGAGCTCACGCTATAGATCATGAACAAGTAAATAGATAATATAGACGATAACACCAGGTAGTTAAAATGCTTTCAGGAAGAATAGGGCGAGGGAACAGGCGGGGGCGGGGCAGGGAGGTCCCATTTCTGACCAGATGTCCAGGGAAGATCTCGCAGAGGGGGCAGCATTTGAGGGGAGATCTGAGCACATGACCTTGCAAACAGGCAAAGCAGGGGACTCCGGGCGACAGGAACAGCAAGTACAAAGGCCCCGGCGTGCAGGGAACCAGAGGGGGAGTGCAGAACCCGTGGCTGCAGAGGGCCCCTCGGGCCTCGGTAAGGGCTTCCGTGTCATTGTAATAACTGGGGGGGGGGGTGTTTTTCTCTGGACTGCGGTAAAATAAGAGGTTATGACAGCAATCCAGGGGACAAACACGAGAGCTTTACTTAGGGTAGGTGCGGGGGAGGAGGCAAGAAGTGGTTGGATTCTTAACACATTTTAAAGGTGGAGCCAAGCGGACGTGCTGGCTGCGTGGGTGTGGGTGAGAGAAACAGGGGACAGCCCGGCCTCGCCACTGGGCTTTGCTGTTGAGCAACCAGAGGAGCGGCAGTGCCACCCTGACGGGCAATACTGGGGAAGGTGGGGGTGGGGTGGGGCGGTGAGAGTCAAGTGCTGTTTGTCCAAGGCAGGTGTAAAGTGCCCCTTAGACGTCCAGGAAGTAGTTAATTATGTGCACCTGAGTCTCAAAGGCGAGGCTAGGGCTAACGATAGGGAGCTGTGAAAGGGCCTCCCACATCAGGGTCACTCAGAGCCAAGTGGAGACCAGAGGCCTGACCCCAGGGAGGAAGAGCTCCCAGTGGGAGTGGCCCCTGAGGCAAGAGGTAGCCAAAGCCAAGAGAAGGAAGCATTTCAAAGAGGTGGGAGGGATCACGTGTGTGGGAGGTGCTACCAAGATTGGGCCATGAGCTGATGAATCCTGGTGACCTCGGTCAGAGCAGCCCAGTGGCGTGGCGGTGGCGTGGCCAGAGTAGCAGCCTGGCTGGTGTGGGGAGAGAGAGATGGGGAGGGAGAAAGCGTGGGGAGCCGATGGAGTGGTTTCATGTAACAGAGAGCGGGGGGGGGGGGGGGGGGCGGGGGGAGGGAATGGGCGGGGGTGGAAGAGAGAGAAGTCCTGATGAAGCCCATGCACCCTGGGGCGGCCTCACCTGGATGACCCACCTCCAGCCCATCCATCGCCATGTCAAGGCCAGAGGTCCTAGGTCTGATCATTTTGGAAAGCCCCCAGGAACTGTGTCCTAAGGGGACCTGACTCCTGTCTCCGGGCTCCAGCCTTGACTCCTGCGTGGGGCCAATGGGGTGAGTGACGCTGACCCCCTCCTGAGAGGGTTGTCCCTGGAGTCAGGGCTCTGGCAGCCTCCTGGGTCTAGCCGCAGGCCCCACCCCCCACGAGCACCCCTGAGCTCCCGCCCTGAGTCTGCCCTCTCCCTACTTTCCCACCAGAGGGGAGGCGTTGGAAGGCCTGCCCCAACGGCTACGCTCTTGTCATTCCAGGGGCCTGCACCATGCTGCGGCAGCACAGCTAGAAAGGAGATGAGTGTTTCAGAGGAGGTGACATGCGGATTGGGCTTCACAGGATGAATAGGAGTTTGTCAGGTAGAACAGGCCTTCCAGGCAGAGGGAACAGCACATGCCAAAGCTCCGAAACAAGAGGACCAGTGTGACTGAGAAGTGGTAGGTGGAGCCCAATTATGAAGGGGTTCGGATGCTTTACTAGGGAACGTAGCAAAGCTCTCCTTAAGGGCTGATGTGACCAGAACCGGGTCCTAGCAGCCCCCCTTTGCAGGCCAGCGTGCAGCGAGGAGAGTCCAGTGTCTTACCTGAAGAAACCCCAGATGCCCAGGCGGTACTGAATGGTCACCACCACCACGTGTTCCAGGGCAGAGAGGACCCGCCCATCGTAGGTGGACGCCCCGCCTATCACCAGACCTCCTCCGTGGATCCACACCATCACCTGGGCGCGGAGGAAGCAAACACACTGCCGATTAGAAGCAGAGCTGGGAAGGACCCGGAGAGCTTGTCTGGTTTGGTCACCTACCTCTCGACCATGACTCAGGGAGACTGTTCCCCAAAGGTCATCAGCCCCCCCGCAAAGCTGGAGCAGGCAGTCGCTCCCCTCTCCCTCCTCCTAGCTGGGGCCGGGCTACCACCCCACTCAGTACACCCTGGCGGCCCTGCTTACCCCTCGAGCCCTGGTACCACCCCCTTCAAGCCTCTTCGTGCTGAAAACACCCTCACGGGAACAGCCAAGGCCAAGGGTGTTATGTCTCCCTAACACTCCCATCATCCTCAAGCCCAGACCTCTCCCCCAGCTTGGCACACCCTGCCGGCAGCCCATGGATTTTGGTTTCATTCATTACCTATTGTGCAGTGAATTAAACTTCTCTTGTGCGTGCGAATGATTATCTCAAGAAGCACACACGCCCTTGATGGCGTCTCTTCCTAATATCCCTTCCCCCTCCCTCCCCTGGATTTCCAAACCCCACCCATCCTCCAAAGCACAGTCTAAAAGTCACCTCCTCCAAGGAGCCTTCAATCATTTGACACATGTGATCTTAAAACCTAGAGAATTCTAAAGACAGCAACTGAAGGTGAGCGTGGACACAACAATTCATAATGAATGACTTGCATTTAAACAGCTCACTTTGCAGGGATATGACCGTGGCTAAAGTAATAACATTGCAATTATTTTGTTAATGGAAAATAAAAGAACTTTTAAGAAGAACCACATGGCCAAGTTCTAAGCACTTTACCATAAACCCGTCAGCTGACCACTGTTATCCCATTTAACAGACAGGAAGACTGAGGTATTTAACCTGTCTATGCTCACACAGCTAATAAGTGGCAGAAACAGGACTTGAACCCACACATTCTGTCTCCAGAGCCCATTTGTTGAGCCACCCAGCACACTGCAGCCCATGGACATGGTACAGTAGGTCAGCTCTCAGGTTAAGAACAAAATCTTCACTTCACCTCTAACTAACAGGTTAAGGGCATTTGCCCTGTGTGCTGTGTCCGGCACTGAGACCAAGCTTGATATTCATTATTGAATCCTCGTATGTCATTAGTCCTGTTTTGAGGTAACAGCCTCTCAGCTAGTAAAAGGCAGAACCAGGATTTAAAACCAGGCCCTGTAGTCCCAGAGCCTGGGTCTGTAAATAAAGGCTCTCCTGCCCAGGGTTCCCAGAGCACCCGATCCTCCGGTATCTCCAATCCCTGCCCACGTCCGGACAGCGGGCCTGGGTTCCTCTACCTCTAAGTGGCAGCCAAGCTAAGGGTGGTCAGGAGGGATCTGCTGAAGATGCTGGTCTGTCTGTGCAGCCAGGAGGGTGAGACCCTCAAAGGCAGGGGTTACGTGGTCGTGGTTTAATGCTCTTCCTTTCTCCTGAACCCACTTCTAGCCGTGTGTATGTATATGGGGGCACTGAGTACAAAACAGAAGAATGAGTGACTGAGTGAGTGAAGGAGTGAACCTTTGTCCCACCTCTCTGAGACAAGTCTGTGCAGTGTTGCTTCCACGTGCGGTCCCAAGTTCATGGACACCCTCCTCCATCCCTGGGCACATCTTGCCAGGGTTGTTCCTGGGATATGGTTGGGTGCTCACACCCCTCTCTCTGCGTCCCAGGGGTCACCACCAGCGACCCACCCCCACCTTCCAGCCGGAAGCCTGCTCCACCTCTGAGACTCTGTGCACTGAGATGCTGACTCACTGGGTCATCGGCCCAGCCACCAGTGGCAAGACGACCCCAGATTTGGGGCCGAGACAATGGAGAGCGCCTGTTGGATTGCCCCAGGACCTGCCCGCACACCTCTGTGTCACCATGGGACGCTGATCGCTGTCGGTGCAGGGTATTCGCGTGCTGAGAAAGACCACACACAGGCCTGGTTTCCCTGTCCTTGCCACTGGGCACAGGCTTGGAGGCCAGGAAGCTCTTGCTCTGGTCCTGCCGACTGCAGCGGTGGCCTTACCTTTCCCTCTCTGGACCTCGGTTTCTCTATATGTATAAGAAGGGTTGGGTTGTTGCCTTCTCTGTAAGATTCCTTCAAGCTCTATCTTTATTGCAAATTATCTCAGCCCTGGCTGGTGTGACTCAGCAGATTGAGTGCTGGCTTTGGAATCAAAGGGTTGCTGGTTCAATGCCCAGTCAGGGCATGTGCCTGGGTTGCATGCGGGCCAGGTCCCTGGTTCCCCAGTTCCCCAGTTGGGGGTGTGCAAGAGGCAACTGATCACTGTATCTCTCATATATCGATGTTTCTCTCCCTCTTTCTCCCTTCCTTCCCACTTCTCTAAAAGAAATAAATAAAATCTTTAAAAAAATTAATAGCTTAAAAAAAAGAAAGAAAATTGCATCTTAGCTTCTCTGGAAATAAGATTCCTAACCTGGCAACTAAACAGTGATCACTCTTGTCCCCCTATTGCATGAAGGGGTGTGGGGACATGAGCTGCGAGGGACAGAGGCACCGAGACAATCACCAGGGGAGACTGAGGCACGGCACGCGTGTGTCTCCTGCGGGCCGGTGGCCTGCTACCGGGGAAAGGAAGCCCTGGGCCGGGGAAGAGCTGCCTCACCCTCCCCCGACGCCACAGGAGCGCCAGCGCTGGAACTGGCCACTTACCGGCAGCCTGCTTTTCTTCGTCAAGTCGGCGGGAGTGTAAATGTTTAGGTAAAGGCAGTCTTCGGAAAACTTGAGAGGGATGCTGTTCTTGCTGTTGGTGAAGAACTCTGAGATCACCTGGGCTCCCACTGTGTCTTGGGGGCACCTGGGGGGGGCGGCAAGCAGGAAATGTCCAACTGGGGCCCAACTGGAGCTGAGCACGGAGCCATCCCCTGCACTCAGGCCTGGACTGGGACTGGGAGCTCCAGGCCTGTGCAGAGCACTGCTTACTAGGGTGGGTGGGGCCTCCTGAGGGGGTGGGGGGCTGGGCCTCACTAGAGCTTCGTAGGACCAAGCACAGTGAGGAGGCCTGGCTTCTCTCTGGGCCCTCGGGACCCCTGGTGCGCTGTGTCAAGAACAAGAGGCCACCTGGCCAGCGCCCACTTGGGACGTGACAGTCCCTGCCACTCTGGACAAGGCCTGCTCTCCGCTGGGCTCCCCCGGGGCGTGCAGGGCGGCCATGGTCCTCTACCGGGTAACCCAAGTGATCTAGGCCACAGGGGACTGCTGGTAACCCTGAGAAGTCACTCAGATGGTAGCAGGCATTTGGGCCGAGTGACAGGTCAGGGTGAAGTCCTGGTAGGGTGGCATCGGGAGAACTGCCTCGGCCACCGAGGTGCCGAGTGACCCTGGGTGAGCCCCCTCCCTGCTCACCCAAAAGGGCCCCAAAGGGCCAGGTCCAAGTGAGGGCTGTGATTTCTCGAAGGGTCTTGCAGCCCAGACATGCTAGGGATCTGTCATCCCCCCATCCTCCCACCCCAGACAAGCGCTGCTGCTCGTCCTGACGACACAGCCAGCAGAGACTGTAACTGGTGAGATTTACTGAGTCCCTGCCCCACCCCGTGCCAGGCATTAAATAGTCCTTGGGACTAGGTAGCTAGACACACCTGGGAGCTGAGAACCTGCCGGTGGACTCCCCGAAGCACTCCCGCCAGACTCTGCCTGGCCCACCCCGCTCCCCAAACACAGCAGCGTTCCAGACCGGAGAATAAACACAACCCTGCTCCTCATCCCCCTCGCCTCCTCAACTTCCGCTTTTTCCCCCAAACACTTTTTATCTTCTGACCTATTACATAATTTATTAACGTGCATGTTGTTTATGAAATCTCTTCCGGCTGGAATGGAAGCCCCAGGAAGGTAGCCATAGGTATTTCTTTCACTGATGGGTCCCAGCCACCTAGAACATGCCGGGCACACAGTCGGCGCTCCGTAAATACTTGTGGACTAAAGGGCTCTAGAGCTCCGGAACGTTTTTAAGGACGGACCATATCTTAAGGATTCCAGAACAACGGGAAGCCACAGGAGGCTGGCCTTGGTGCCTTCCTGTGGCCCTCGGAGGCGAACGTCCCACCAGAAGATTCTACCACTTACATTGGAGGGTAAGAGGTGGTGTTCTTCACGAAGGTCCATGGCTCTGCAGGCTGCGGAGGGGCGAACCTCAGGGGTCCCAGAGGAGGCTTGGCAAAAGGGACACCCAGGAAAACGGCCACTGGCGTGGCAAAGCTGTCTGAGCTGACATACGTCCCCAGGACTTTGCCCTGCACGGTGTTCACCACGGGCGGCGAAAGCGGGTGCCCTGTACACATTGGAAGAGAGGACACAACAGCGGTGAGAGGTCTGAGCCACGTTTTCGGTGTGTCTGGCCACATGTGACCCTGAATGAGTCAGCTCAACTCTCAGGTCCCAGATTCTTCTTATGTAAGAAGGAGGTGAGGTGAGGTGACTGCCCTCCTTCATGCACAGGCCTCTCCAAAGGAGCACGGGAATGGGGGTGGAAGAGCATCAAGCAAAGCAACATAAAAGTAAGGAGAGCTGCTGGGCGTGCACAAGACATAGGGTTTCCACGCTTAGGAGCCTGTGGAAACAGTCATCCATTAGGGTCCTGGCGCCGAGCTGCACGCTGCATGAAAGGGTGGATGAGAGGCAGCCCCCCTTCTCAGAAGTCTGGGCCTGGGAGGGAGAATGAGGCACAAACACACTCGACCCTGCTGCTGGAAGGAGGGAGAAAGTGGCCGGTGTTCCAGAAGTGGCGGCTTTGTGGAGGCGGTGACTATGGCACTGGGCCTTGCCGGAGGGGAACACTGGGCCAGGGGAGATGGAACAGGGGTGCGGAGGTGTAAAGTGGAGATGAGACAACACAGTGCGGGACGTGCCTGAGGAAGTGAGAACGACCCACCGGGCAGGGGTTTGAGATTCTTCTGGTGGCTCTGAGCAGGGGCAGTGAGCGGGGACCGGGGTCAGATCCCTAGCTGCTCAGTTCCTCTGGGGCAGACAGCTCTTCCTCAATGAGCCAAATTCACCGCCCCACAGCTCCCCTGTCCGCCCTGGCTGTATCCACCAAGGACCACCCTGAACTTCCAGATGCTTCATCACGCCCACCCTCACACCTCCTCTGGCCTCCCCCCTCGGCAGCCTCGGTTTGTTTCCGCACCCCCTTCTTCAGAAATGATTTCCAGCCTCGCACCCTCCCAGGTGCTCCCCTTGAGACACAGACAAAAGGCCAATGTCTCCCCAAGTGTGCGGCCAGAACAAAAGAGAATGATTCCCATTTGGTCTTACAGAAGTCTACCCCGGGACGCTGGAGACAGGGCAGGTTACAGAACAGCGTCCGTGCCTCCTGTTATCAGTCGCCAACCCCACACGGTGGCCACACAGGTTGTTCTCCTTTGCTGTGGCTGCTAATTATTTTGAGCAGCGAGGTGGGCTTGCTCCGAAGTGTGTCCATCAAGATATCAAAGGGGGGCATCGTGGAAGGTGAATTTTTTCCTTGTGCTTTCCAAGTTCCCAGCACTGAACACAGATTCCTTCTTACAATTACACGGGTTCTCTTCTGAATAAATACAGTGATGTCTATCAGGAATGTTGAAGAAGGACTCGGTCCCTGATCCGAGGTGGGAGACATGGAAGACAAAGCAGAAGGTCGAACAGCTGAGCTGGGACCCTGAGTTCCGTTTCAGACCTGGCCAGTGAGGGTGTCGATGGACTATCAGGGTAAGAAGACGCCCCAGGAAGTGGGGGGCGCTTTAAGACTGGAGGAGGCCAGGGGAAGAGGCAGCGCAGAACCAGCTACGCAAAGGTGAAGGCACCAATGTGGATGGGCATGGAGCCATTGAAGACGAGGGAAGAGAGAAAGCCATTGCAGTGGAGAGAAAAGAAGACAAGGGGCAGAGCAAACCCAGGGCAAGCTGCCGCTGGGACTCGGGACCACCTCCTGGGCAGAGGGAGGGAGGAGGGCACCTCATAAGGGGTGGGGCTGAAAGAGAACCAGGTGCTTCAGACTGGGGAAGGAGGGTCAAGTCTGAGAAGAAGCCAGACCTCATGAAAGCCTGGCCTTTAGGGAGTCGGTAATAACCTTCGAGAGAGACGAAGTGCACAGAAGCCCCCTCTGGAAAGGGCAACGAGGTGCGCGCTGGGATTGGGAGACCCAGGCCACGGCGGCAACCCGGACAGTCACCACTCACGGTATAGGTGCGGTCTGTGTGTTGAGTGCCTCCAGGTCACTGAATCTTCCCAAGAGCCTTGCTCGGGACGCATTCATACGCCCATTTTACAGAGGAGGAAACTGAGGAAATGGAGGCAGCCAGAACAGAGTTTCTAAAGAGGGAGACGGGTGGCCTCGCCAGCGGGTAGCCAGCAGCCGGGGGCCGTTCCCCTCCTAATCTGGCTCCTTTCTGACTCTGTGCTCACTCGCGGTTCCGGTCCCCCCGGCGTGCACCCCACTGGACAGAAGATGAAACCCAGGTGGTGCCAGGGCACCAATGGCCACAGCTCTGCGGGTTCAGGGGCCAGAGACTGTGTCCCACGCAGAAACCTTTTCTTTACTCCAGCTTTTACTTATTTTCCCTTTGATTCAAACTGGTCCCACCAAGCTCCCTCAACCACCCGCATCTCTCTCTGTTGCTTAGCCCTCAAGCCCTCAGGTCAATGAGGTTCTGGTCCGCCACCAGCAGTCTTAGGAACAAGACCCTCGGCCAACGGACTGCTGAGACGGAGCTCCCAGTCAGGTGGAACATGACGTGTTGGCCTCAACCGTGCTTCAGTTGACCCCGGAGAGCAGAACGCCCCCCCCCCCCGAACAGACCCTTGTGAAACCAGACAGGCTGACATTGGGACCAGGTGCAACGACCACTTACCCCCTACCCTGGCACCAGCCAATTAGTAGAGACCATGAGCCTACTTCCGTTAGTCACCATGATTAATGATTTGCCTTTTCCCTACATAACCCATCCCCTGGAAGCTGTAGAGGAGACTGGCCTTTGAGCCTGAGCTACCTGTGACTCAGCACACAGAGCCACCTCCTTCATAAACCCTGGCCCTCTCCGCGGCAAACTCGTGCCTCATGGGGCTTTGATGTGCACAGGCAGGCAGACCCCTTCGGTCCAGAGACAATGGTGTAGGGCAAGTAGAGGCAGACCCTCGCCCCGGGGTTGGGAGGACTAAGAGGAGCAGCCTTTGAGCTGCCTGATAAGAACTGTTCTCACAGCCTTGAGACCGGGTCGGATAAAGTGTTCCTGTAACATGAAGTGAGCTCGAGTGTTGCACAATCATGTTGTGTTATATAGTTTCTGGCATTTTCCCGGCTCTAGTACGTACACAGGTAGGGACTCCCTGCTGGGGGTGGTGATGATGAGAGACACACAAGGGGACAGGGTGCTTTGCTGGGGAGCAGGGGCCGTGACATGAGACATGCAAACGGACACGCAGCTTGCAGCGTGCGTGGCTCACCCCCTCGTGAGTAAAGGCCTGCCAGACAGCTCCGTGGACATGTTTCTGTCTACACGGATGCCATGGGCCTGCCTGGCCTCGAAGGGCGGCAACACAGGCAGATTCTTGCCCTCGGCGGCTCCCCTCGCCCTCCACTTCACCGAGTGGTTGCTGTGGGGGGCAGCCCCCACCCTCCTCTTGGGAACTGGAAGTAACAATTTTTTTTTAAATATTTTATTTATTTATCTTTTAGAAGGGAAGGGGGGAGGGAGAATATGTAGTTGTTTAGGTCTCGTGGAAGTAACAATTTTTTTGATTGACATTGGCTCCTGATCCGCTGGCCTTCCCCACATTTTCTATCAATACCCCCCTCTTTCAAGCGCCCCCTGGATTTATGGACTCTTCTGTTGCACCTGCCCCATCCCAGGCACTGTGTTCCTTAGGAAAAACCCAACCAATTCTGTCCGCAACAGCTCCCCGAGGGAGGTATCCCGTTACCGCCCATTTGGGAGAGAGGCTCAGGAGAGCGAAATACCTTGCCTAACTAAGGACTCACTAGGGTGGCACATATGCCCTGCGAGTCGACATTAATACTCTGCGGAGTCGCGCTCCAGGATTTGGCCACATGTGGACTAAGAATCAGAGGAAAATACACTGAGCTCCTGCAAGCCCTGGTGAGCAGGGCGTGAGGTGAGCGGGTCCCCACACGTGAAGCGCGAACAGCTGTGGTCTCCAGTGCTCACCAGCCACCCCCGTGTCTCCGGTGGACTCGGGGTGGCTAGGCTGGCACTGCAGCTGTCACGTCCCTGCCCTGCATGCGTCTCTCCTCTCCCCCAGATGTGGAGCAATGCCAGACGTGGTCGAAGTGCTCCGCTCCACTTGAGTTTCCATAGGACTCACCCCGAGCTGTGGAGGCTGTGAGGGAGCCCAAGACCAGGATGAAGAGCCACATCACGAAAGGACAGCAGTTCCTGGGCCTGCAGGTCTTCCTGAGACTCCAAGGCGCTGTGCCCTCAGCTCTCGGCAGCCCTACTCCAGCCACTCCTCCGCTGGCCTCCCAGCTTAAGCAAGTAACAATGGAAAAGCACCCCCCCCACCCTTCCAAACTGCACTCTGTGGGGCCTCTAGGCCACACCCACTCTGAGCGGCCTATCTTACTCACCCCTTCAGTCAAGTACAGAGCTCTCAGATTGCAGGATTGCAGGAGCTGTCCGACAACTTGTTACATAAGGGCCCCTCTCTGTGGGACTTTGACCTTAAGCTTCCCAAGGCATACACAAGCCTGCAGATAAGGAGAAGCTTTGGTCTGAGGTCCTCAGAAAAAGCCTGAAAACTTTCTGAGCAACAACTCCCAGCCCCATAGCTGCTGAATCGGAGAATTTAGGACAGGTTTCTCTGCATCCCTGTGGCGGGGGTGCGACTTTCTGACGGCGTTAGAGTCAGTCACCAGAGGTGACTGCTTCTACAGAGACTGACCTGGGCTGGAACTCCTCCCTCTCCCCGAGGAGAACACACAGGTCATAAAGAGCACACCGTTGCAGGCACCTGAATCTGCCACATGGGGAAGCCTGGGTTGTCTTCTAAGCAAAGAGGCTGTTTTGTTCCGCACACAAACACACACTGGCCTTTGCAGCCTGGGAATACAGACCTGGCTGTTCGTTTAGGGAGACTGCAGGATGCTGTCTTAGCAAAATGTGGCACGTAAGGGTGAGTTATTCCTCTGGTCTCACTGTTCGGTCACATGCCTGCTTGGGACACCAGTCCCTTTCACAAACGGAGGCGGCCCCTCCTAGACCTTGCCAGTGTCTGGCTGCCTCCAGAAAGCCCATTCCTGGCTCACGGTGACTCTGCAGAAGTGATGGGTGGAGCTGGAGCACACCAAGCCTGAAGCTGTAAATGATACAGCACTTCATGTTTCAGTGGCTCCTGATTGGAAATATGGCTTTTCCCCGGGGTGGGGGGGGGGCTTTTCTCAGGTTCCCAGGTGGAAACATGATCTAGAGGGGAAAACCCTCAGAACTGGCCTTTACTCCTAAGTGGCTGGACAGGTCTCAGGAGAGAAGACACCCCTGGGGTCCCAAAGGAGCCCCCCAGCCTCTCCATCTCCATCAATTCACTCAAGAAATATAGGGAGAGCACACACCTGAGCAATTGCCGGACGAGTGGGAGCCCATGTCCCGCTGTGCCCTCCACTGGGCTTTGCCCATCCCTCACGGTGCCAATCAGCATGGACCTCGTGGTGGAGAACAATGCACTGGGGGACCAGAGGCTGGGAAGCCCACTGGGTGACGCTGGGGGCTCCCTTCCGGAAGGGAGTAGGGAGGGGCAGAGTGCGGCTCTGGGCACGGTAACCTCTCCCGTACTGTCCACCCTGGACCGGCATCTGTGAGTCAGAGTCTAGGACATTCTCCCATGGAGCCCGGACGCGCACAGCATCTCTGGGACCTCAGTTATTCCCACACTAACACCCCTCCCTTTTTTTTTTTTTTTTTTTGCCATTTCAGCATACCATCTGTACTATTAGCAGCAGTTTTCCTTAAGTGGGCAGATTCTTTGTACTTTAAGCACACTCATTCAAAAAGAAAATTGATATCATTTCCATACATGAAAGACCTGTATAACTTCTCATGAATAAAAGTAAGCACGACAAATGTGTCCTTGCATTTTTAAAAGTGAAAACAGTGGTAAAAATAAAAGGTGGATGTGGAACTGTGAGTCCTGTCATCCGTAATTGATTCACAAAAGTGCGTACCCAAAAATGAGTTATGCAGTGGGGAATGCAAAGTGTGGGTAGGCAGTACCACGAGGGCAGGCCGCCTAGTCCACCGTCACGGCCGCCAGCCCGGCAGCCTGGCACTGGCTTACTCGAGGGTTGTCCTTACTATAGCCAATGCGCTTCACTGAGCCCCAGACAGCACTTCCCCTCTTACGCTCAGGCCCCCGGGCATCAGTCCCATTATGTTTGCTAACCTCAAGGCCCTAGATGCTGTGTCGTGACTAGGTGGTAACTCCCTGGGGTCAGTCTGGACCCAGGATGTACAGAGACAGAGCACGTGTGTGGCACTCTGGCCGGGGCCTGGGGCCTGGCGAGGAGCCCACTGGACCTGGCCATGGGCATCCAAGGTCATGCGAGATGGCACAGATAGCTGGCACGCAGGTATCTCCATTGGGCAATCACATGGGGCCTCCTAGTTTAGCTCCTGCTGAGTGAGCACAGATTGTGAAATGAGGGTGAACTGCGGCAGCGAGAGCCCCAGACTTCCAATGGTTTCTTTCTTGCTTATCAGAAGAACTGGGGTGTTGCTGTGCCGTACGGTTGCTTAGGGATCTACCAGGAAATCAGCCCACGTTTTCTGTAAAGCCAGCCAGTAAGTATCCCAGGCTCTCCAGGCCACCCGGTCTCTGTGGCTACTCTGCACCACTGCCGATGCAGGATCAGCAACCCAGACTGCGGCCCGGCAGACGGCCCGCCTGTGTTTCAACGAAACTTCATTTTAAAAATAGGTGCTGGGCTGGATTTGGCACATGGGTCAGAGGCGCTGACCCCTGATCTACACGGTGGCGGTGGCTTTTGCCAGCTGTACCTCATGGTTTTGAATGTCGTGGGTGTCCATCCTGGTCAGCTGCAGTGACGGGGCGGGGAGGCGTGGAGCAGTGAACACTGGGGGGACAGCGCTGTGGGCCAGGTCTGGAAGTGGCACTCCTCACTTGCACTCACATTCCACTGCAGAGCACGGAACCCTGTGGCCAGTGTGACGGCAAGGAAGGCTGGGAAATGTGGTCCCACTGTGCACCACAGAGGGCAGGATGGATTTTAAGGAACAGCTAGCAATTCCCACCACAAATAATATCAGTTCAATCAAGGACTTGATGGGAGGGATTTTTTTTTCTAGGACATAGTAAGATAAATATATCGGCATTATATAAATGCTTTGACATTTGCACACCCTCTTAAATAGCCTTGCATAACTTCAGGAATACATGTATTACACTTTGCTAAACACTGAGCTTTTGTATTTCTTTGCTTCAAATTACAAGGGCCTGATTGCGAACCCAGTGCCGGCTGGCTAGAGTTGGTCTATGAAACCTTTCTTCAGTCTTTAAAGAATAAAGAAAGGGAAATGAGTGAATCAGAAAGACATGTAAAAATTTACACCCAGGGAAGTTAAGATTGAATTGTGTTCTGGAATTGACTCTGCAAACTCCAATTGCTACTGTGGATATTGTTATAGACATCTGGGCGAACACATGACTTCGAACTGAAGAAGTGTCGTGTGTTCTCTTCCCCCAAGAGTTGCCTGAGTTTGTCAGCACCCCAAACTGTCCCCACTGTCCCCTGATGATCCTGGGCATGAAGTGACAAGACTTGGAGGAGCAGAGGACGGACGTCAGCGGTGGTGCAAAGTGGGCCCGGGGGCCTTCTCAGCGAGGTCACCAGGGGCTGCAAAGGTAAATAATGGACAGAGGGCCTGAGTGCCCAGTGACGAACAGCCAGGCTGCCTCTCACCTAGAACAACAGGGAGCGGTGGGAACGCTTTAATTAGGAGAATGGCACAATATAAGGGCCGTTCCCAAAGTAGAATCGCACAGAGACAGGTGAGTCACTGGGGAGGTCAAGAGGGCAGCCTTGAAAAGGAAGCTCCCCAACACTCCCGGGAGGCAGGAGAAAGGTGAGCCCTCCCTTCCAGAAACAGCTGAGTTTGCTGAGTGTGAGGGCTGGGCCTGGCAGCCCCTGCAGGCCTCGGCGAGAATGATGACACAGCATCTCCGAAGTGCCGGGCGGCACGAAGGTTTGCAGGTGCCAGGATGACTGATGCTGGCCCTCAGTTGCCACATTGGGTCACAGGAGTCACAGGGAACATGTCACCCTTTGAGATCCCCCCATCACGGTCTGTCCTGTGCCTACTTGTCTTTCTGTGGATGTGGGTCAGGGTCAAACAGGGGTGGGCACAGGTGCACGAGGGAGAAAGAGGAGCCAGCCCCTGGCCTCCCTGTCCCATCCACAGGCGCCAAGGGCCTTTCCAGTTCCGCATGTAGCAACGTGTCCTCGCCGTTGCCCCAGCTATTCCCCCTCCGGGAGTGACTGTGAAGGAGCTCCAAGCTGTGTGTGTTGGATGGGTCTCCTTGGCCAAGCTGATGTTGCAGCCACGGTGGTGAGATTACCTGGTGATCACAAAGAGTAAACAAATCATGCTTAGCACTCTACTGAGTGTGCCTGCGATGCGGCTGTCAGAAGGGTTCTAGACAGAGCGCTGGCTGGCAGCTGCGGGTTGGCAGGGTGGGCGGGTGCTGATGTGGACGCCTGCCCCCAGTGTTGGCATCACTGTGGATGGAATGAGACATTCACACGGACGACCGAGTCCGGTGGAGGAAGAGGGACAGCATAGCATTTCTCTCAAGGGGAGCGAAAGCCTCAGCCCTTGCCGTGACCGGCATTCATTGGGTTTCTGCTCACATTACTTGATGGTCCTCATTTACTATGCACAGGTTGCTTTAGATGGTTACCTTTTACAGAAAACAAAGGAGCCAGTACTGCTAATCACATCACAGAAGAGGGATATTTGCAAATGAAAAGGCAAAAGTGGTTGAACCAGTTATCACCCTCCTCCTTGGAAGGTTTAGCATGGAGTTTAGGAAGTTACTTTGCAGTAAATGTTTGCCACAAATCCAGGTGAGGGAGCTTTTTGCAAAAAGCAGCCCAGGCACATTTCGGGCCTGATGCCCCACAGGAGAACCTATCCGTGGGTGTGGGTCCTGTGCATCTCCTAGTGGGAGCTGGGTCCACGCCACGCAGAGCGGTCTCCGTTCTGGGTGTGAAGGGATTGAGCAAAAGGAGAAGACACAGCAGGGCGGGGGGGGGGGGAGTGGGGAGGCAGGCGGAGGGTGAGGGGAGACAAGGCCATGGGCGGAGACTTGACTCGGGGTGGGGGACGCACAGTGCGGCGTACAGAGGACGGGTTACAGAATTGTACCCCTGACACCCACGCAACGTGATTAACCAACGTCACCCCAACAAATTCAATAAAAAGGAAGAAGTGTAGAAACACATGTAATACTGTTTTTGTTTAAAAAAGAAGTTCTCCGCCTCCTATTAAAGAAGACTTGGACCCTTGTATTTATTCCTGATACAGGGTGCAGCCAGGGGGCCCCCCCAAAAAAGATTTGGAATGGTGTCCAGAATTCAAAGTGTATAGGAATATTGGAGAGACATATAAGATGTCCTCATCCCTCCCCCCCCCCCACAGGTGTGAGCTGGGGGAAGGGACACATGGAGCAGGAACATGCAGGGCTGTTTTGTACAGACACAGCCTTGCAGCTAATCCATGGCATTATCTTTTAACATATCTATAGCCTTTGGCGGTCACTTGGATATGTTAAATGGCTGTGGCCAGGCTTGGAGCTAGGGGGATGAAGTCACTTCCCCCAAGATGTAACTGGGGGCAGGTACCCCAAGTTGCAGCGCCTGCGTAGGGGCTTGGAGAAGATTGGCTCTAGGACATGGGATGATTACTGCCCAGACTAACGATGGCAGCCCAGTAAACTTGTATTAATACAGAAATACTGGCAGGTGTAACTGATCTTGGGAGGAGTCGGAAATACGGGTACAGAGGAAGATGGGTGCAAGGATTTAAAAACCAAACACAGCAGCCATTGAGGGAGAGAGCCATGCAGTTTCAGCAGAGTGAGGACCCCCTCTTGGTGAGGTGAAAGAGGGAGCCACGTGGTTTTGGCAGGGTGCGGACCCCCTCTTTCCCAGGTGAAAGGGAAAAACCACGCAGCTTTGCCAGAATGGAGATCCCTGCAGCCAGGTGAAGAAGAAAGCCACATGCTTTTGGTGGAGTGCGGACTCCTGCAGCTTTGGTAGAAAAGGCCCACGCGGCTTTGGGGTGCCCCCTTTGGCCACGGGGCCTGAAAAGCAAGAGAGATTTTGACTGGAACTGGGTACAAAGGACTCTTGCCGGTGGACCATGAGAGGGTACCACAGTACTTTGGATTAACTCGAGATCCTGCACAGTGACACAGCTGACGGTGCCAGCGGCCTGAAACACAGACGTGTGTTCTTTTCCTGATTTACGGTACCCGGAGTTGGGACAGTGGGAGAAGGGAGCGCTGTGTGGGTGTAGGTGTATACATAAAGGACTTTGATATTTTAGTGGAGGCATTAGGCCTGAATAGCATTAAATAAACATTTTGTTTCCTTTTCACAAATCTCTGGCATTGAGAGATGTCTTTCCAATTGGCAGCGGACAGAAGAGCCCAGCAGATATTAGTATTTTGTTTTTTTGGGAGGGGCCCCTGTTGTATAGCAGTTTTGGGCATCCCTAAGTGGGCCAAATATTGTATTGCCCCTCCCTTGGACCTCTTGTTCGGTAACATTCCCACTCCCTCCGAGGGTTCTTCTAAAACGTGACATGATGTCTTAAAGGCACGAGCTGGCCTCTACCCACTGGAACAGCAGGTGGCAGCTGGAAAGGGGACAGAGACAGAGAAATGACAACTGCCTTTCCAGCAGGGACAGTGAAAGTCAGTGCTGGGGGAGGAGGGAGCCCCCAACAAAGGGGTTCAACACAGGGACAGTGGAGAGCTTGCCGGACTTGGAGTTATGAGGAACCAATGAAAGCAGGGGTACAGAGACCCCCACTTATGCACACAGATAAATAGGTAGATAATTATAGAGATGATGGATGGATGGATGGATGGATGGACAGCTAGGTGGGTAAATAAATTCACCTTTCAACAACCTGCACCTGGAAGAAAGAACACTGTTTCCTGCAGGCCAAGGTTAAAAGCCACCCCCACCCCCAGGCCTCCACGGTGGGCTGCGGCAACCCTCCCAGTGGTGCCCACTAGGCTGCCCCCGCCCACCACTGGGCATCTGTGGCCACTGCCACCACACCCTCGCTGGCCTTTACCCTCCCACCCATCCTTTACGTTCCAACTTGAACTCTGGTCATCCATGAAGAACAACAGTCTCTTTGCCAAAGAAGTGCTTTGCACTTTGACACAATTGAGTGGCTAAGTAAGATTTCCCCGCCCACTCCTCCCTTCCCAGGGAGCACAGTGCAGGGCATTAACTTGAACTGTGACCAGAATACAAGAGGCTGTGACAGACGAGGCCTGTCTCTGCTGTCGGGCGGAAGGTTTGTCCTGTATATGTGTTGTCAGGAGCAGCGCCAGGCAGGGCAGCCTCCCAGGTGAGGAACCCACCTCCCACCCTCTCCCCCACCTCTTCCCCAGGAATGACCTTGCCTCTCAGACGGCACCAGAGGCTGACTGGGGGAGGACTGGGCTTTGGGGTTGGGCAGAAAGGTCCAGAGTCCACAGTGCCCTTGAGAGGGGATCAGAAGCCACAGGGGAAGGGACGCCTCTCTGCCCGTCTGACACAGGAAAGTACAGAGATTAGGAAGAAAAACACTGCTGGCCATGACCTCCGCTCTGCCTGTGAGTTATTTCAGTCAGACTTCTCAAGTCATAGAAGACTTTTCACCTTTCAAATGTAACAGGGGAAAAGGCACAGGATAAATGGTATTGGTTTGTAATTTGGTTATTTTGACTGGTGTTCTTTTCCTTCCATCACAACCTCTCAGAAGCCTTGGAGGGAAGCCTTTTTTTTTTCCTTTTATGATGCTGCCCTCTGCTGGACATTAGGAAACTCACAGGCAAAGACATTCGGTAGGTTTCCAGTTTTGGTTCCAGATTGAGCAATTCAGATCCAAGACTGACTGGGGGTGAGGGGGTGGGGAAGGATTTTCTGTAAAAAAGTAAATGTTTAATTTATAATTAGAAAGCAAGTAAATATTTCGTTCTTGCAATTATGAGGAAGCAGAGGTGACTGAGAAATAATTTTTTAAACCAAAGGTACTCATTCCCAAAGTTGTTCATCAAATAATGCCCACAAACACCCGGGAGCGGACTAACAACCAAAGAGACTGCGGTAGCCACAGCAAGAAGACACGTGAGCTGATCTTTAAAGGACCTTTAGCCACCTGGAAAATCCCCATGCCACACTGCTGACACTTAGCACCGTTTGATCAGGGAAGTGCACTGAACGCCCAAACAGTGAAAATACGGGCTTCCAGACCTGGGCCAAAAAGATTCTGTTTCGGATGCACTGAGGCGCGGCTTGGGCAGTGGGATGTTGGGAAAACCCCCCAAGTTCGTCTCTTTATTACACACCTGATAGAAAACCCTGAATTAAGGAAGAAATCAGGTTGCCAAGTGGCATTTATGTTTCAGTTGTAATTCAACGACACATCTGATCGCACAGGGACAGGAGCCAGGAGGGAAGGAGGCCCAGCATCTGGGTGATTTGGAGATACGCTCTCTCTTGCAACACATCTATCAAAACGAGAACCATCCTCAAGGATGCCAGGACCGGGAGCCGCATATAAATAACACGTGTAATGTCACTCAATATGATGGTATTTCAACATGAGTTGAGGGATGTTTTCTGGCTGTTAGTTGGCAGACATGTCAACGTAGAAATTGACCCTTCGCAGCTGCAGAAGCAACTGAAGTTCCAGCTTGTGTACACCTGGCTCAGGCCCCCCTCCCAGAGCCAAAAAGCGGCCCGAGCTTCCCTGGTCCACCCCTGCCACAGACAATCCAGCAGCTGCAGATCAAGCACTGAGGGAGGCAGGCAGCCTGGCAGGTGGGGCCCTGCTCTGGAGAGAGAAGGGAGTGGAGCCCTGGGTTTGACCTGCTGTTTACTCACTAAGGGAACTTGAGGAAGCCCCTCCCTCTTCTCAGACGATTGTAAAATGAGAGGTCAGGGGTCCAAACTGAACCACTGTTAAGGGGTCACGTGGTATCCGTGAGTGAAACAGGCAGGCACTGGACTAAGGGGAATAGTGAGAACCAGAAAGCAGTGTGTCAGTTTGTCAGTGCGATCCACAGAAGAAACAATCTTCACATGTTGCAATCTTCACATGCTCTTGCTGTCAGCACGTGGGGGATCATCACTCCACAGTCCCTGCCACGCGCTCTGCGCTCTGCCAGGGCCGAGGAGGTGGGAGCTGACGTGCAGGCTGTGCACTGCAGAGGGCGCCACTTCCGACCTCGTGCACTCAGCAGAGACGCAGATACTTACCAAGGATGGAGTCCTGGGCGGTATCTGTCTGCATGGGGCTTGGAGGAAAGGATACCTTTCGATTTGCACAAAGGTGCTGCGTGACAATGCAGCTCACATATTGCCAGGGCTTCTCCCCCCCTCCCTTTTTTTTTATTTGGAGAAGCTTGAAACATAGCTTGTAACGTGAAAGTTCCCCGATTCAAAATTAGTTGAGGATGAATTCCAAAACATTTGTGACTTTATGCCTTATGTGAGCTAAAAAAAAAAAAACTCCTGGGGCCCAGATTCAGTCTGCAGTTGGAGGTCTTCAGCCCAGATGAACCCTAAATTGCTGACATGAAGCCCTCCTGCCCTGTGTACCTCGTGTGTGACCTTGAAGCCATCCCAAAGGAAAATGAATTGCTCTGGTTAGTGACGTCAGGACGGAAAAGGGATCACGTGGGCACAGAAACTAGAAACACACCCTTTGAATGCTGGTGTGCACAGTTCCCTCACCCATCATCTGGCTAACTTCCATTCGTCCTTTCTTACTAAAAATGTTCTTTTTCTGGAGACAGCCTCCTAAGACTTCGACCCAAAGTCGGCTACCTAGTTACACTTTCTTTAGATACCTTACTTATTGCTGAATGAACTTCACCAACTCGCATCATGCGATACTCACGTGAATGTCTGTCTGCTTACCGTCTCTCTGCTCACCATTTGGGGGACAGCTTGCTTTGCTCTCTGCTGCACCCCCATGGGGAAATGCCTGCACAGAGCAGGCGCCCAGTGTGGACTCACTGAATGACTGATTCATCTCAGTCTCCGTCAGGGAGACATCTTCTCTCCTTAGTGTCCTTGACCTGACCTGCAGCACGGGGCTTGATTCCTGGGTTCCTGACCTTGGGGGATGTCCGGTTTCCACTGCTCAGAAGGAGGTTCTCTGGCCCCCACAGATCTCTGAGCCAGAGAAGGAGTCCTGTCCGAGCCAATGACAGTCAGGACAACCGTGCGTGGCTCGGAGTTGAAAGCTGCCTGGGCTGGGGTTGGAGGACTCACGTTCCGGGAAACTCACACGGACGCCTTCTCCGAGACAGTCATCTTGCGCGTTGCGGGCAGAGGGGCGTAGTTTTTAGCCTAGAATTGAATTCTGTTCCCTGTACGTATTAAACATTCTGCTTTTATTTCACGTGCATTGCCAGATCATCATTATGCCAACAAATAGGCCAGCCCTCCTGCAGGTGTAGTGAAGACATTTTCAAGGCAAATGGCATTTTTCTCAATGTTGAAAGGAATTCCCTAAGGATCGGCTGAAGCAGCCGATTCCATAAAGTAGCTAAACACAGAATGTAGCCAGGCATGGCGGGAGGCACTGTAGTAGAAGGGAAACCAAAGTCACAGAAAGATAACTTCTCAACAGACAAAAGGGAACATAAAAGGCAAGAGCAGAGAAAGGAAGAATACGGAGGAAGGAGGAAGGCCAAGGTGCCCCCCGGAAGTGGACATCATCAGGGGGAGGGTCTCTGTCCAAAACTCCACCTTCTGCGCTTTCAGTCTCTGTCCCACGCTCAGGTTCAAGTTCAGCTGCAGGTACTGCTCCTCCTGGCTGTAGGCTGGCCACAGAGGCAGGCCTTTCCCGTTCGGGTCCCTGGGAGGGAGGGCACAAGGAGAGGTGAGCTTTTTGTCCTCAAGCTCAGGGCTGTGGGAAGGCTGGAGGTTTGCTTACCCAGTTCGAGCAAAGTTGGCCCAGTACCTCATCATCTTCCTGCTCAGCAATTTCTCCTCCTCCGTGGCTCCTTCTGCAAGAGATAATCCCAAAATCCAGCTCCCACCAACGTTCGCCAGAAGCCCAAGGTGCCTCACATTTGATGAGTGCTTTTCGCATCTCTCCTCCTGCAGGATCCTCACCAGCCTATCAAGCCACTTCACTCGTTTTGCATTTGTAGGTACCGAGGTCCAGAACAACTGTGGCTGGCCCGAGAAATCCCGGCCTCCAAATGGTGGACGCTGAACACGCACCGTCCCTGCGCGCCCCACGCTCTTCCAACCATTCCCCACGCGCTTCCAACCATTCCCCCGAGGCTACAAGTTCCTTAGGGAACAGAGACCACCTTTCTCTCTCCCAATTATTGTATTTCTTTATTTGACAAAGTAATGCTCAAAGCATTTTGCTCAAAGCGCAAAACCCAAGAAGCAGAAAGAGTATCTAATCAAAGTTAGTTTCTCTCCCATCTGTTCTCTCTACTGTTACCAGCCTCAGAGGCCACCATTGCTACCAGGCTCTTGGGCGCCCTCTGAAGGCAGGCTAGACATGTACATGTTTTTACAGATGCTGTAGTATAATGGACCCAGATCATGCATCTTTCTTTTTGTTAAAATTCTATCTAAGAGATAGTTCCACCATGTCGCCTGTAAGACTCCCATTTATTACCACTTATTGTCCTATAAATATATGTATATTTATATGCAATTCTGTAAATATATAATTTGTGTTTCCAGTACTCTATTAATCGATCTTTACATCATTTCCAGACTTGTGCTGATAAAAGCAATGCTCTAGTGGGCAGGCATATTTTTTTGCACATGGGAAAATATACTTGCAAAAACACCCTGAGAAGCAGAATTGTTAAAAACCACACGCATTTCAGATTTTCACTGAGTTTTCCACTAATAGATGAGGTTGCCTGTTTTCCCACACCTGCTCCAACAATTATGAAAAATGTATTGTTCTTCCCAACCTCGACCAATGAGAAATGAGTCCTCAGTCAGAGCAAGTTTGCAGTCCTCTTGCTGAGAGTGAGGTTAAGTCGATTTTCATGTTTAAAAGCCACTTGAGTTTCCTTTCCCACACACTGTCTATTTATACCTGTTACCCAGTTTGCAGCCGGGCTATTTCTTTTCTCACTGATTTTAGGGCTGTTCAGACACCAGGGGATTTAACCCTTCCACACCGGTCGCTCATTCGCCCAGTTCGGAGGGCCCCTGTGCCCAGCAGAGAGACCGGGCTCGGTGACAGCTGCTGAGTAGTAACAACTGTGCGTCACTGATGGTGCATCTCTGAGAGTTACCTCACTTCATCCCTGTGCCAACCCAGGAGGTAGTTGTTGGAATCTATGTTATATGACGAGAATGAATGAATGAAACCATGAACGTTTAAACCGCAGAGGCACCCACTCCACATGGGAGGCTCTGTCCTCATCGTCAAGAGTCCGGCCTGAACTGGCCAAGCAGTTGGCCAGTTCAACTGCACTGCATTATGCACTGGCCTGAACTGCATTATGCAGTTTTTAAAAACTAAATATTGTAGTGATATTTTCTGCGTGTGGCTCCTCTAACTTTCCCTGCTGACCACCTCACCTGATGGGCTTATGATTCTAGGTACTGAGTGGGCTGCACACCCAGGAATAAAGGAGGCTTAGGAGTAACAGTTCACAAGCACTTACGGCAGATCGCCTGGACCCAAACCACTCTGGGCTGGGGCTCCGAAAACCGTGGCTTAGCCTTCCGCCCTGGGTGGCAGCCCATGGAGCCTCTGAGAAGGTTGGGGGGGGGGGGGTGAGGCCAGCAGTCAGAGAGCTGGGAGAATGTGGTTCTAATTGTTCAAAAATTAGATTGCAGAAGCACCGTCCTCCCCACCCTGCCTACCCCTTTGGGCTTTAGTACAAAGAGAAACACCCATCCAGCAAATGTTGGCAGCTCTTTTCCATTTTGATTTCTAAAAATATTCTAAAAATTTGAGGGGCGGGCATTTTCCAGGGGAAGGTCATGCTTGTAAACCATAGGTTAAATAAGTAAATTAGAATTAGCCCTCCAACTCCTGCATAGTTTGGGCCAGGTGAGGGGCTCTGTGCAAATAGTGGGGAGTCGGGTGTCCCCCCAGCGCATCCCAGTGTCCCTGCGAGAGCAGGCGGGGCCGCTCCTCACCAAACATGACAACGTCGCCCTTCAGGAAGGCACCTCCAAAGACAAAGCGGATTTCGTCCGTGTGATCGGCTCTGACGAAGGCCGGCTTCCTGTCCTTGAGGCACTGGGGCGGGTGCTGAAACTCATAGAAGTAAACAGGTGCACCGGCATCTGCAGATGGAGGAGAGAGCCCGTGGAGGGGTGCCGGGGCCGGGGGAGTGGAGGCGCCTGGGTAGGGGGCGTGGGGGCGCCCCGCATCCCCACCCATCCAGTCCTGGCTCCGCAGACCCACTGCGGGGAGGTGACTTGCACAAAGCTGACTTCCCTCTTCCTTACTGGGGGCTAGCATTTCCTGTCTGCGAAGGCAACCTGAGATGGCAAGACCTCTGCTTTTCAAAAGAAGCCCTTCCTACTGACCCAAGTCCACCTCCTCGTGACTTCCTCTCACTGAAGAGTTCATTGTCCAGCAGGGGTGTCCAACCTGCAGCCCACTGGCTGCACACAGCCCAGTGAGTGTGGGTGTGAGTGTGGCCCAATGCAAAATCGTAAATGTACTTAAGACACTATGAGATTTCTTTTGTGATTGCAAACATCAATGTATTTAACGTGTGGCCCAAGGCAACTCCTCTTCCAGTGCGGCCCAGAGACGCCAAAAGGTTGGACGCCGCTGGAAGGCAAACAGAACAAAGCTATTCCCTGCTTCCCAAAGCTCCCTGCACCCCACATTCCTTCCCCTCTCTTCTGCAAAAGGTCTTTGCTCTCTGGTTTCCCCGTCTTTCTCTGAACCATCCTTTTTTCTCTACTGCATAATGGCAACCACGCTTGCAAAGTCTGCCATTAAAGCGCATGCACAGACACACGTGTATACACACACATGTGGGCACACACGCACATGCTCTTGGTCTCGTCTTCCTCTCCAGGTACTGATTTTTCTAAATCCTTCTAGCAAGACCCCACCATACAGTTCTTATCTCTGCTTCCTCTCCTCCCCTTTTGTCTTTCAGTTGCAGTACCCTTTATGGACAATGAAAAGCACAGATTTCAAATGTAGTTTGATGAGCTTTTCTACATGAAGTGCATGCGCATTCATGTAACCACCACCCCAGTCAGGATACAGAAAGTCCCATGTGTCTCCTTGTGGTCACTCTACCAAGAGACAGTGTCTTCATTCCTATCACCACAGATTAATTCTTCCCGTTCTGGGCCCCAAGCATGGAACGCCACTGGGGACACTCCCCAGTGCCTGGCTTCTTTTGGTCAGCATGATATTTCTGACTTTCATCATGTTGCTGTGCGTATCAGTAGCTGACTCCTCTTTATCACAATTTATTTATCTACCCAGCTGATGGCAGGCCTTTGAGTTCTTTCCAGTTCAGGGCTACTATGATTAAAGCTGCTATGGATAATCACACACACGTCTTTGCTACGGTCATAGGTTTCACTTCCCTCACCTAGGGGGAGAATGCCTGAGTAATAGGTCAGGTGTCTGTTTATCTTTATGAGAACCTGACAGTTTTCCAGCATGGCTGCACCAGTTTAGATCAGCCCCCTCCTCAGCGCTAAGGCATTTGGGAAGACGCTACAGAAAGTAATCTAGGAGACTGGTCCCAGGAAAGTATGGGAGGTGGGAATTTGCTCCACGGTCCTGAAGAAGGGGAAGGAATGCAAAAAAACAAGAACTGACCGACATTCCTGAACTCTGAAAGGCAGGGGAACTGCCCTGCTTGGCACGCAGGGTCACAACCCAGACACCTCAGGAGGTCCCTCTCAGTGAGGGACCGGAAGGGCGGGCCAGGCGGCCGGTCAGCGGGCAGCAAGGATCCCTGCGGCCCCCAGTCTCGCTGCGCAGTGGCCCCACAGCAGGGGGGCGGCTCAGGGACTCACCTCTGTGATACCGAGCAGTGACCAGCCCAGGGACCACGAAGAACACATCTCCAAGCAGGTCCAGGAAACTGTCCCGTAGTTCAAACAGGGACTGTTCATCGTGGAAGTATTCGTCAGCCACGACGTTTAAATACTGGGTGGGGATGTCCTGTAAAAGATCACAGTCACGGGCGGTCCAGGTCAGTGACGGCAGCCCACTCGCCGGGTGTGGGCCCGTGCAGGCATGATCCTGAGGGCTCTGTCACACTGAAGCCACAAGGCGAGCCTGCGGCGCAGACATCGAAATCAGCCCCGTTTCACAGATGAGGGGACTGAGGCTTACAGAGGTCAGTTAAGTGGTTTGCCTGAACTGGTGGAACCACGATTCTTTCCAAGCCTATTTGCATCTAAATGCCATGCTCTTCAGGCCTGTCTGAAATGTTTCAGAAACCGCCACCCTGGGCAGAACTGGCTGTGTCATTTGCGGGACGCGGTGCCAAGTGAACACGTGGGGCCTCTTGTTCAAACACAGCGAGACTTTCAGGATGGCGACAACAGACCACCCAACCTAGTGCGGGGCCCTTCTGAGCACAAGGCCCTTTGGGGACTACACAGGTCACACCCTGGGCAGCCGGCGCGGCTCCTTGTACCAGCGCTGCTGCCAGGCCTCGGCTGTTAGATCAAAGCTGGTTGGTCCCTTGGAGTTTCCTCATCTACCAAAAACGGGGTCTCTCAAAGGGTCTTTAGTTCTGCTGCTTCCCTGGGACCCACTGCCAATCCCTTAACAGGGCATCACCTGCTTTCTCCGACCTGGCACCAGGCTGCCTCTCAACCTGCAGCCCCTCCACTTGCCCCACGCACTAAGGCCAGAGGCTGGGAGGGAAACTCAGGAAGGTTCAGGGTCCGCCCCACTGGTGATGCCCTCAGGGGTCCGGCACTCTGGACAAGTTGCTGCACCTCAGCCCCCCAACTCTGACCCAAAGGCACAGCCCCTCCCAGGTCTCTCGGGGTTTGGAGGAACATGAGCCACAGCATGGGGCACCGCTTGGACTTGTCCATTGGGCCCTCTGACAGCCAGCCGCTCTGGTCGGGCCCAGAGCAAGCAACCCAAGGGGGTAGAGATGCTCTGTGGAGCCTCCTGCCAGCCCAGCAGGGCAGTCAGGGGCAAGGCTACGCCGTCAGCATCAGAGAACAATGTACCATTTGAGAAGCCCCTCCATGCTCCCAAGCCTCAGGGGAGATGGCACCCCCTGCTGACCCTCGTGCACCTTTCCACACCCCACCTCCCACTCCTAGGACCTCGCTCAAGATATCTTCTCTTCTTGGAATTCCCTTCTGCTCGGGTGTTCCCCAGATCAATGGCCTCTTGTTCTGCAAGGCCATCTCCACCCCAGCCTGAGAGATTCCTCTGGCCAACTTCTAGTTTAAATACCTCTCTAACTTTAGTCCCAACTCTCATCCCCAGACAGCCAAGACTCATCCAAATCCCTTCCAAGCCTTAGGGCCTGAGGGATCCCGTACCTCCGGTCTGGTCCACACTGTAGCCACAGGACTCTTTCTCAAGTACATACTGAATGTACACATCACTTCCATCCCTAGCCCTTGGGCTGAACTTCACATTTCTCCACAGTGTGTAACATCCACAACGCCCTCCCCGGCCTCAGCCCACCCCTGCCACTGATCTCTTAACGCTTCTCTGCTCCTGAATGGTTCTCTTGGTTCCCCCGGCTCCCCTCGCCGCTGCTCCTACCACCGACAGCACAAACCTGACTCACACTCCAAAACCTTTCCCTACCCGCTGTGGACACCATGGGCCCGGACATCTCTCTGCCCTGATCTGTGAAGCAATGCCCTGAAGGGTCTCATCGGTCCGTCTACCCTTACAGTCTACAGGTTCCTCAAGTGCAGGGGGGGGTGCCTGCTCATCACTGTGCCCTAGTGCCTCGGGAGGTGCTGGGACGGGCGGCCTCCCAGCAAAGATTGGATCAGCGAAGAAATGACTGAAATGAACCCAGAACCGAGTACACAGGGAAAAAGTGTTCATGGAAAGGTGCAAGGGAAGAAGGAAAGGAATCAGCATCCTCACGTCTGGGATGTACTCGTGCAGGCAGTGAATGAATAAATGGTTGAATGATCGTCCTCAGAATTTCTAGCGTCCAACACATGCCTGGCTGGCATGGAGTGAACCTGAGTCCCTAGTCTCAGGTGGGTTGCAGAATTCGGGACTCACCAGAGCTGTGTGCAGCATGCGCAGGATGACGGACTTGTTGGAGCCCCTGAGGACCTCAGGGAACTCCTTCTGTGGAGAGAAGCAGGGAGCCCTGTGAGCACATCAGGTCATCAGAAGGGAAGCTGGTCTCTCTGGGGACCCCCGGGCCCTGCCTTTCAGAGGGGAGACTGGGAGAAGCAGTAACCCATTCGGCCCCCAGGGGGCGCATGTAGAAGCAGCCTCAGTGGGTGGTTCAACAACACAGTTTCTGCTCACATTTCATAGAAGGCAGCCACTCCTTTACACCCATAGCCCAGTGCGACCCGAGTGGCTTCCCCGTGGAAAGGCCACGTCATGGGCTGTGTTGTGTCCCCACAAGTTCCTATGTTGAAGCCCTAACCCCAGGACCTCAGAATGTGACTGCGTGGGGACAGGGTTTTTAAAGAGGCGATTACGTTAAAATAAGGATCTTAGGTTGGACTCTAATCTAATTTGACTGATGTCTTTATTAGTAGAGGCCTTGTGGACACAAAAGAAGACATCGGAAAGGCGTGCACACAGAATAGATCATGTAAGGACACAGCTATAAGGCGGCCAGCTGTAAGCCAAGGAGGGAGGCCTCAGAGGAAACCAAATTGGCCAGCACCTTGATCTTCAACTTCCCAGCTTCCAGGACGGTGAGAAAATAAATCCCTGTTGTTTAACCCACCCAGCCTGTGGTGCTTTGCTACGGCAGCCCTTGATCATTAACACAGGCCACAATTTGGCTTTGACACCAAGTTCAACGAGAAACCAGAGACTCTTGAAACCGGCGGTTTGCTGTTCTCTTTCTAAAGACCTTTGCAATCAGGGCCTCCAAGAAGCCAGCCGCTGGCAGGTTAAGTGGCGAGGCTGGCGGTTAAGCGGTTAAGAACACCGGCTCTGCTTCGTAAGCAGTGAGAGCTACAAGTAAGCATTTGTTAAATGACCCCCTCCCCTGGCCAATATTAGAGTTTAAAAATGAGGGGGTAGAAATGCTATTCATTGTCAAGTGAATTTCCCTGGTACTTTTTCTGCTCAAAATTTTGAACCACTAGGGCAGTTACATAAACACATCTGTCTCCTAGAATATGAGGGAACCCCCGGAGTTATGGAAGTTATCCATCAGTGTAGTTTAACTACGAAGGTCCCTCTCTGCATGTTTGGAAGCTGGGATTTGTGACCGTCCACTAACTTTGTTACTTGACAAACCTGTGTATTTCATAAGCTCATGCCCCCGGCCTGAGAGGAGGTGGGTCTGTGGAAATGAGCTGTGATGGTATTATGAGTTTGAACACTCCACTCTTCTGAGGACAGAGGAAAGGGTCACTTCAACCGTGGAGGGCCTTCGCAAACCACACGGTCCAGGAAGCACGGCTCCTCCTCCGCACTCAGGCCTCAGCTCAAATGAGCCCTCCCTGGGGACCCTTTCCTGACCACCCTTTCTCCTTCCTCAGGAAGATTTCTCTCCCTGGTTTCTGTCCTTCACAGCCCCCAACTGCCTCTGAAAACTTGCATTTCATCTGTCCCTGCCCTTGAGAATGGAGGCTTGCAGAAAGCTGTATCTGAGTGAGCAGAAAGCCGCAGCCGAGTTACTTGTTCACAGTTGCATGCTCGGGTTTTAACATCAGAGAGCTCAGCGCATGTCGTAAATGTTCAGTTCATTCCTGTTGAATGACTGAAGCGATTCAGTGGCTTTGCAACTTGCCCCGGCTCAGAGAGCATCCTCGGAAACCTAAGTGCCTGAACTGAGGCCGAGCAGGAAGGTGTAAGGGCCGGGAGGTTTCTGAACCTTCACGGATTTCACCTTTGAAGTCTTCAGTAGCTGTGCTTGTTTGAAACAGTCGTTTGTCACGTGTTGAACAAAGCTCTAATGGACCCCATCATCTCTTAGCATTTCAGTCATTTCTTTCACCAACAACCTCCATGAGGAGCAGGGTGGATACTCGGTAAGGCTGACCCCAGGCCTGTCACCCTCCTTCAGAGAGAGGAAAGGTGACCGCTCTGCACTTGGCTGGTGGGCTCCAGCCTCCACAGCACTCCACGTCCGTGGGAGGGACCCTCGAAGGAAGCAATGCCCCACCTCACTGTCGGGGGAGTGAGCAGAGGCACGGGTAGAATTCTTACCACTGGCAGAAGGAAGCCACACTCGTGGTTATTGACTCCGATGATAGAAGGAACCGAATTAAATGTTTTTTTAATCAATAGCTCTAGAGGTTCATTGGGAAAGAAAAAACCATCCACCACTCTCGTGAAAGACTTGGTTTTCTGAAATAAGAAGAGAAAAGTTGGAAGCACTCTCTGTTCGCAAACTCCACTGTCCCCAAACCCTAGACACGCTGAGCCAGCCCAGTCTAGCAAAATGTGGTAAGAAAGGGAAAACAAGCCACTCTGGGCCCCTCCCAATGTATCTGTGCGCCTGGGCAAGGTGGGGACAATTTCTTTGTGCCTTTGTTTCCTCATCTGCTAACCGGGGATAAAAACAATATCTACCTAAGGAAAACACTGGCCTAGCACGGTGGTTCTCCAAGTGTGACTCCCAGACCACCAGCGTCAGCACCACCTGAGGACTTGTCAGAAATGCAGGGTCTCAGGCCCCACACCAGGACCACTGGACACAAAACTCTGGGGATACTGTCCAACCAACTTAAAAAAAAAAACCTTCCCAGGGGATTGCAATGCGTGTTTTAGTGTGAGAACCACTGGACAAATGCAACGGGCAGAATGGTGAGGGTGGGGATGGCCAGGGAACTGAGGGCTGGTGGGAACCCCTTCCCCAGATGTCCTCCCCAGCACTGTGCCTGGGGTCAGGCTGGATATTTCTGGGGTCTCAGGAAGCAACACTTGGCTCTATTCATGGGGAATGGGGGTAGGTCTCTATTAGGAAGTGGGGTTAGACACCCCCATCAGGTCAAGGACTTGCCCACTTCCCAGACTCCAGCAGGGCTCACAGCAAATCCTCAGCTCAGGCCAGAGAACTACTTACAACTGTGGGAATCTGACAGATAAGGACCCTGCTCTGCCAAGGACCATCAGAAGCTCTCAGGACTGGAAGGGACATAAAAGATCATCCAGTCCATTCAATGAGTCACCCAGTGACCGAAATTGGCCATCGGGACCCTCCCTGCACCCCCAGAAGAGGCGGGTATCGCACCGCCTTCTGCAAGAGCAGACCCTTTGTCAGGCAACTGAGTGTTTAGGAAGTTCTTGGTCACACCAAGCTACAAGGGCCCCCTGCAGGACTTGTAGCTCTTGATCTTGATGTTAGCTGCTGGGGTCTTGTGAAACAAGCTCGGTCCCTCTACCCAGTGAGGTGCCTTCAGTGACTGAGATGCTACTTCTGTAGCTTGTATTTTACTGGACCTTCTTCCGGCTAAGGAGGCACTGCTGGCCCATGAAGTTCTTTAAATTGCCCATCAGGGTCCTAGAGTCCACATATTTACAGCCATTACTGAGAATCCCCTACCCCCACCTTTCCAAGTCCCAGGTCAAAATAAATAAAAGCGGCAGGGTGTGTCTACCACCCATTCAAAGGGCCGCCCCACCCCTAAGCCCCTCCCCCGCTTCACCTCACTGATGCGCAGCAGCTCCTCCGATGGCTTTGCCCGCAGGCACCGCAGCAGGGCCTGGGAGTCGACTGCGCTGCAGCCACAGGTGTTTGCAATCATCCGCAGCTATTTCCAGGGGAGGAACAGGATAGGGCATGGGATTGAGGGCCTCCATGAAAACGAAAGTTGGAAAGAGCCCTCTATCCAGCAACAGGCCAGTCCGTCATACATGACGTCCAGCCTGCCAGTCCTCCCCATTCTCATGCCCGTAGTGGACAGGACACAGTGAGGACAGGTGGGCCCTGCGTCATCTTTACTCTTACCTGATGCTCCTTGTCACCTTTACCAATTGCTGAGGCTGGGGGCGAGGGTTTACCAGTCTGTGGCCATGGAATAGAGTCAAGACTCCTGGTCATGGGGTGACCTGTGATGTCACAGTCCCATGGCGTTGGCCCTGCGCCCCACAGAGCCCGGAACCTAACTCTGAGGTGCTGAGAGGAGTCAGGAGCCCCCAAGAGCGAGCATTTGCTTTGCATGCTCCTTAATTGTCTGCTGAGGCAGGAGGCCAGCTCAGAGGTTCAGCTTGTCACCTCACCCCCAGCCTGGAACACCCTGAACCCTTTCCCTCTGTCTTCTACACCAGTGTCATTCACTCCTGAAGGCCCAAGTCACATCTTCTCCAGGATGTTCTTTCCAACCACTACAGCCCCTAGGAATCCCCTCCTCCTCCGATCTCCCATCTCTACAAGGATCTCTACCCTCTCTACCTAGCCCTCCAAGAAGCCCCTTCTCATCCTGCCACGGAACTTTCCACGTGTGTAACGTTTGTCCCTAGAAAGTAACGGTCCTTAATCTTCTGGGAAGCATGTGTGCTCTGAGAATCCAGCCAAAGCCCCAGACCCTCTCCCCGGGAAAATGCTGACACCTATTGAGTTTGCATACGATTGACGGAGTTTGAGGACCACCTCCCAAATATATCCATGGGCTCCGGGTTTAAAATTCTTGTCACAAAATGATCCAAGTCTCCTTGGGTTAGTATGTGCCTTCTCCATGTAAAAACCCACAGATCCTAACACAGAGCTGGGAAAACAGTGGGCACTTGGGATGTGTGTGGCGCGTGAACACACACACACACACACAACGCAGCTCCATATGTCATGTTGCCAACCACAGTTTTCCCTCTGCAGAGAGGGTGCTTTCCCAATATTGTAACTCCGTTTCTGGGCTTGGTATATGTTGCTCTTGCCTATTAGGAGTTTAAGAAAATGCTCCACCAATACAGATAATACCCAGGAGATGGCTGCACAGCCCAGTGCTTAATTAATATTCACTAAATGAATCAGCTCATTGGTGAACACATTCATTGAGCAAATACTCATAGTCACCTAATATTTACCAGACATTATGCTGGGACGTGAGAGATATAAGGTACCTCGGTCTCTAGGTCCTGGTAGGATGCAAAGACAAGATGACAGGGGACAAATACCTAGGGCATATGCCTCACCTACCCCGTCACGATCTCATGTCAGACAATATTAATAAATCACAGTGTCATTTCTTACTGAGCTGCAAACAGCATCGGAATATTACTAGAGTGCTCTAGGTCAACTAGAGTGAGTATAGCTGTACATAATGCAGGGGACAAAGACATACATCGCAAGCAAAGAATAATAGATAGAATATGAGGTCTCTCTCTCTCTCACACAAATACACACACTCACACGCACACACACCGGCAGTGCCGCATTGTGTATTGGACCCACTTCCTACTAAACCAGGCCTTCCATGGAGCAGTAAGGTTCACCCTAAGCCAGCATCGGACTCTTTGGCCATGGTCAGTAAGGCCAGTACAGGGTCTATCAACAGGTGTTCTGAGGATAGGAAGCTGGAGAGATGTTAACAAGATACCTACATCCTCATTTCTCTCTTCATCAGGGGCCAGCAGGTAAGGGATGATAGCCACCCCACTCTCCATGATGGCTTTGTGGAATAAGTCACTGGCCAGTGGGGACAGGACCTGGAGAGATGACAGAGGAGACCCAGCAAAAGTTATCTGGGGGGGCTTCCCGCCCATCACACACTGCCCATCCCTTCTTTAAAGAAACCTTCCCAGGAAGCCTCCTTACGAGAGCTTGAGAGAGACAGAAAAGCCCTGGTCTGAGGGTTTAAGGACTGGTTGTGAGGGGGTGGGTAAGTAGGTGGGTATGTTTTATAACCTCTCGAGCCCCCCCCCCCCCCCCCAGTTCCACAAGAACTTTGAAGTCACACATTCTGGCGTGTGAGTTCAAGCTCCTTACTTCCCGGCTGGGCAGCCTCAGGAGAGCTGTTGAATATTTCTGAGCTTCAGTTTACTCTCTGACAAAATGGGAGTAAAAATGGAGCCCACGTCTCAGGTTTGTTCTGAGGAGTAGAAGTAATGGATGGCAAAGGCTTCACACACACCTGGTTAATTAGCAAGCACTCATGACACGGTGGCTGCTGTTGTGTACGTAAAGTTATTTATAATCTGCCTTCTAAGGCTGTTTGGAAGGTAGAGAATACCTCGTACACTGTCAAGTGTTACACAGCAGAAGCCTCCCCCACCTCCCAGCAACTGACTTGTGTGATTAACACGTTAACCGCTGCCCAGGACAGCCAACCACCCAGAACTCAGAGCCGGGGAGCCTCCCTCCCCCGGCCCATCCACACGTTTCCATTCCCACCAGGTCCTCGCCAACAGTCTGGTGCAGTTTGCTTCCAAACCTGCGTCGTCAGTTACGTTTGCTATCGTAATTACGTAATCAATGAAGTGGGAACCCATGGACGTGTGAGTGTAAAAAGAAAACAGAATTATGTTTTTTTGGGGGGGAAACAACCTTGTTAGAGGCAGATAGCTAAAAACTGCAGCTATTAAAATAGGGGGTGAACAAGGTAGGAATCAACCATGTGGGGGGATGGACAACTCCGTAGGTGGCTGCATTCACAGGCTACTTTGCAGGCCTCTTTGGTGCATGCTCACTCCCTGGACACAAAACCACAGTTTGAGGGAGGTGAGTCCTGAGGGCGGTTTATGCAAGAGTCATGGGGACCTCCAGCCCGCAAACTGGCTCTGAAAAGGTGAGACCCTGTAGCAAACTATAGGTGGGGGAATGTCCATTGTATGTTTTAAGTTAAAATAAAGTGTTTGTACGCATCCTTTGAAATTTTATGCTTTCACTGAGCTTTTCTATTAAACAAATTACCTGTCCTGGTCATTGGATACCAGGGATTCAACTGTACAAATACAAATGATTTTTCCTCAAATTCTCCTTCACTATGTGACCTTGGGAGATTCATTTCAACTCTCTGATGACAGCTCTTGTCCTTAAAATGAGACTGAGCCCCTAACTCACAATGCGAGGCTCCAGGGGGACAATGTGCATTAAAGTGTCCAACACGAAGCACCGACCAGATGGAAGTGGATCATCACCCTCATTTTTGTAACCTCCTCTGCCCCAAGGTTCATTCAAGTCCCAAAGAAGAGAACTCACAAGGCTGGACACGCTGATGGCTCCTGCTGACTCGCCAAAGATGGTCACAGAGCGTGGGTCCCCGCCAAAGAATTCGATGTTCTTCTGCACCCAGGTGAGGGCGGCCAGCTGGTCCATGAAGGCCCAGTTCCCCGGGGCATACCGGTCCCCTGTGCTAGGGGCGAGAGGCAGAGAGAACACATGGGCCACTGTCTGCCTCCCACAGCAGCCGGGGGAGTTGAGGGCAGGGGCTGTGGGCGGGGGTCAAGGCACCGCCTTGCCCACTGGGGAGGGGCTGAGGATGAGAGACCTGAGGACACGGGAAAGCCAGCTGCCTCAGCTGGTTCTCTCCCTCTGCCGGGATTGGGGTTTGAGAATCTGAGGAAAGCTACACACCCAGGAAAGCACACAGAAAGCAAACTGCACGTGCAGTTTCCGGACGTGCACAGGCTCTCCTGAACCTGTGGGTTCCAGCAGAGCCCTGCTCCTGAGAGCGGGTCTGCAGCAGGGAGCAGGACTCACCGGGCACAGAGGTTCCAATGAACGACTAAAGGAATGACAGAGACACTGTTACAGCAGCGGTGGCACGTCAGGTGACACCGTCCTGAGGGCTTCATGGCTGATGCTTCCATAGTCCTCCCAGCCAGCGAGGTGGGCGATGCTGTTTTTTCTCCCGCTGCCCCTCTGGGTTCTATCCCCACCATCTCTGCCCTCCTCCCAGAAGGCTGACCCCTGGGAAGTGCACCCAGACTTCCCACTGTGTGTGCTCAGTGGAAGGCCCCGGCCAGGGGCTTGGGGCGGGCTGTGGAGACCAGCACGTTCATCCCACCGCCCCAGGTCTCCGCTGAGCAGTGCTACGGGCAGTGGCTATATTTCTCTGCGGCCATAGCTCAGGCCACTTCCCTGCAGTGAGAGCTGCAGGCAAGCCCGGAGCTCACTGCTGGATACCTCGGCTTCTTCTCACAGACAGGAAAGCAGGACCTGGACAGAGTAAATCCCTTGCCCAGGACCTACAGTGGTGCAGATGGGGGATTTAAACTCAAGGAGACTGACCGCAGAATCTGACCCCAGAATCTGACCCTGGCCACAGCCCCCTGGGGCAGCCCATGCAGAGAGCTGCTTTCACAGGATGGGTGGGCAGTTTAATGAGGAGGGGACAGGATGCAGTGGCATGACTCTTCCCAGGTGAGCACTTGAGGAGCCTTGAGATGGGGCCTCAAGGCAAAGATTTTTAACTGCTCACATACTCTGGGTCCTCACCTTCCAGGGCACAGGGCTGGGCTGCAGTTCCCCATCTCCCCTGCATTGGGTATGGCCACAGATGGAGCTCCAGCAAAGGTATATGAACATAAGTGATGATCGCCACCTGCAGGCTGATCAAGGGACCACCCTCACAGTACTCTCCCAATCTCTTTCTGCACCTGCTGGCCAGAGGCGGGGGTCCCGGCCTTACAGGGGGGCAGAGCCCCAGACGGAGGAGTCCACGTGCCTGACTGGCCATGCAAAAGGACGTCTGCCCATCAGGAACACTCGTTAGATTTCATGGGAGTGAGAAAGCGATTTCTATTGCTCGACAACCTGGGGTTTAACCTGTTATAGTTGCTAAAATGCACTAAATAATTTGGGTCAAATTTGTTCAGTGTCACGGAAGGCTCACTCCTCCTTGGGATGCTGGACACTGAATCCCCTGTGGCTCCTACACAGCTGCCCTTCTCGGGGGCGTCAGTTACTTGGGGACACTCACTTGAAGAAGCCGAACATCCCTAGCCGGTACTGGGTAGTCACGACCAGCACGTCCTCGTAGGCAGCCAGGGCGGACCCATCGAACATGGAGGCTGAGCCAGTCTGGAAGGCACCCCCAGGGAGCCACACCATGACCTGAGGAGGGGAGAGGAATTTTTCGGTCGGCCTGCAGAGCACCCAGACCTCCTCCTTGTGCCTGAGGGGTCCTTCTTTCTTTATGAAAATATCAATGTCTCACTTTCATTTCCAAAAAGCACCAGAGGCTTTGTCTTGTGAAGAAGGCTCAGGGTTACACATGCAGGCTCTGGCATCTGAGTAGCTGGGTTTGATTCTGAGCTCTGCCACTGACTAGCTGTGTGACCTTGGGCAGATTACTTAACCTCTCTGAACCTTGCTTTTCTCATCTGTAAGATGTGAAAAATAAAAGCATTTCACTTATGAGGATACCACGAGGTTGAAAAAACATTCTGCAACTTGAAAATGTTGGCACGTTTCAAGTGCTCAGAATGTATTAACTAAATACTGAATTTGTGATTCACAGGGAGACAGAAATCACTGTGTGCCGTGTAAGAGAGCAAACACAGCTTACGCTGTTCTAAGGCCGTTGTCTACCTAGAGAAGAGAAGAAAGGGAAAAGGGAAGAGGAGTATGGAATCTTTACTATATTGACTAGAAAAATTGGGACCGGGGAACAAAAAACATTGTTCAAATGGTATTATCACTATTTATATTAATAATGAATCCCCTCCACTCTCCTTTTTAAAGGTCGTATTAAGGACTGCAACCCTTGGGGCAAGAAGAGAGAAGAAAGCCACTGAGGAAAAGGAGAGCTGAACAACGCATTGGCTTTGACATGAGCATCTGCCACTTACTGTGGGCAGAGTGTGGAGTGGGACCCTTCTGCGCGCCATCCCCTGTGCCTCAACTTCTTCATCTGTAGAATGGGCCCAATGGTCCTGACCGCCGGGGTCACTATGGAGGTTGGATGAGATGCTACACTGTACCTAGCAACTGTCAGACATCAACGGTTGTTGCCGTTACAAAGCAATACAGTGGGTCTCCCCTCACACTGGTGTGGGGCACAGAAGAGGATGATGGGAGGGTGTGGCTGAGAAGTGGATGGTAGACTGTGCCTTTTTCCTCACTTATACATGGGATTTCTACATTTTTAAATGGAATGCTCCACATTATTACCTATCTTCATTGCAACAGAAAAAATTGGAGAATGCAATTACCTTCTTTAAAAAAAGGTTTCCCAAGCAAATAAACAAACAAAAAAAACAAACAAAAACAGAGTCCTTTTAAGCAATGTCTTTTCTAAATGTTTACGGACCATCAAATACTTGACAGAGCAGGGGGAAAAAAAAAACAAAATGAAAGTCAAAGACCCAAATCGCTGCCAATAAAGAAGCAATCAGAAAAGGAAAAAAAAAAGTGGATCTGTCATTAGAATGACTTTTTAAGGAAGTTACTGACACATCAACGGAACATTTCCCTTTTACCCAGCAGGAGGCTGGGCCTGATTCCAGACCCCCAGCCAGTCTGCCTGGGGCCCAGCCCAGGGACCTGCTAGCCAGAGCGCCCAGCCCAGCACCCAGCCTTACGGGGAGCTTGGCACCAGTGTCCGCGTGAGCTGGGGCGTAGATGTTAAGGTATAGGCAGTCTTCTGACACTCCCAAATTGGGGAAATACACCTTGAGCATGTGTTCATATGAGGGCAGCCAATCTGAGTTCTGGAGGCACCTTGGAAAAAGGGAGGAGAACCCCCCAGAGTTGCTGTCAGCAAACCTGCCTGGGAGGAGCCAGCTCTTGTGACAGCGAGGAGGCCTGGTGGTCTCGTTCACCTGAACAGAAGGTGCCCATGGGGAATCTGGACACAAAGTTAATAATGCCCCCCCCCCCGAAGGCACAAACAAACAAACCATGATTCTCTTTGATTTGGTTCCTGGGTAGGAAAGTACACTGTGCACAGTAATTATACCATGAACCCCCCGCACCCACCCCTGCCTACACCCACCGTCATAATTTAGATACACGCCTGAAGACTCAGACTGTTTCAGCAATTCTCCAAACTGCAGAGGTCGGGATGCTGGTTGCACACCAAAGGCTTTGCCCTGGCAGCTCCCTCTCCTGCCCCCAGAGGAACAGAAGGCTGATTCCCCAGGCGTTTCCACCAGGAACCAAGTGAAGTAGGTACGCAGAGAGACTCCTGCACCCAGACCTTTGCTCAAGCCAGTCCCTCTGCCTGGACTGCTCTCTTCTACTACCTGCTTGCTCGTGTTCTTCCCTCTCTTTCAGATTCAGTCCAAATGTTACCTCCTCCAAGAAGCCTTCTGAGATTTTTCCAGTTAGACCACAGGTATCTTTGGAAACACCTGCGTATGTTGTGGGTTTTTTCCTTGCAGTTCTCCTAGACTTGCATGTGGGTGTTATATTCCTCAACTCAACCATGAGCAGCTAGAAGCCTAAGACTCTGTATTGGTCCCCTAAGTACCACACAGCCCCTATCACTGAGCCTGATACATAGTAAGATTAAGTGACATTGTATATGTGCATATTTCTACAAATCACTCAATTAACGCTAGATTTTTGATAGAATCATACACAGATTTGCTGCAAATCCACTCCGACAAGTTTTATGCCTGTTTTGCCCCTTTGTAGGTTGTATCTCCTCATGCTCTCAACAAAGCCGTCTCTGACCATGCCCCTCTCAAAGTGGCGCTGGGGGGTCTTTGTGCTTCCTCAGCTCCTTCTCTGATCCCCTCTGGCAGCCCTTGACACTCTTCATCTTGCTTGTCATTATGGTTTATGTCCCCACCACCGCTACCAGTCTGTGGGTTCCTGAGGGCAGCTACGCCTAACCCACCGTGGTGTCATTCAGGGCCTCGTGGAGATCCAGTAATTGAGTCGGTTCTTAACAGACAGGAGCTGAATGAATGAGTGAATGAATGAATGAATGAACAGATGAGTTTCCAATTAGTATCCTCAGTCCCTGGGCCACATGGGGTCTTCTTCTGTGGCTAAGGAAGCTTCCTGGCAGCAGGGTACTCCTTCTGCCTGGAAGCCCAATGCCAGGTGTGTGACCAACCATGAGAACTTGACAAAATTTGGCAGTCAGAAGATTCCTGGGGGTTTCCAGGCCTCACTTCCCACCTAGTGCATGAGGCCTCTCCACAATTCACCGGGAAGCTGGTTGCCTACCTAAGTGTGAAAATTTGCAGTGACTGGGAGCTCCTTACCTCCCAGTCCCCGTGTCACAGAGACACGCTCCAGTCGTCACTCCACGGGTGTTCACGGATTTTCCAAGGTGGGCCGGGCTCTGGGCCGGCTCTGTGCTGACTGCTGGAGCTGACCTCCCCACAGGGTGATCCTCCCTCTACCGCCCTGGTCTGTAGTCTCCGTGGAGACTGAGTCTAGCTGGGAGGCCACCCAGAAACACTGACAGTCCCTCCCTACCCCACTGCACTCAGAATCTTTAGAGAGCTTTCAGACCATACAGTCTGCCAGGCCCAGGGCTGGAGGTTCCAATTCGGGAAGTTCAGACGGGAGTCCAGGGGAGCTGCATGTTCTAATGACGCCGTGTGGTCACTGAAGCCACTTTGGTAGTCCACCCCCTCCTCCCTGACACCCCTTCCCGTTGGCCTGCACGGCCGATTTTCCCCTTCAACGCTCTAATCCCACTCCCAGTCGCAGGCCACCCATGGGACCAAGCCTGGTCTTACAATTTAGGGTACGAAGTGGCGTCTCGGAAGCCATTCCAGGGCAACATAGGCTGTGGGTTCGCAAATCGCAGGGGTCCTAGAGGGGGTGCAGCAAAGGGGACCCCGAGGAACATGTTCACAGGCATGGCGCTTCCCAGCACGGTGGCTTGCTTCCCCCGGACCCATCCCAGCCTGGTGTTCCTCACCGGGGCTTCTCCAGGGGGCCCTGAGGGAACACACGGGGAGGAATCAGGAATCGGAGGCGGACAGCAATAAGCTGAACTCAGAGCTCCCCCAGGTGGGGGCGCTCTTTCTCTGCCAAGAAACTGTGTAACAGGAAGTATCTGGACTCCTTCTGAAGGAACCCAAGCCCACTGCTCCCTTAAAGATTGCCTGAGCAGTCACCTGCATCGGAGCACCAACTCAGTACCTGTTAGGAGCACAGCACCGAGCCACAAAATTTCCCCTGGGGACCTCGGGAACCCGCCTCCCTCCTGTGCGCAGAAGCCTCCCTGTCCTATGGGACTGAGGATGCAAACCGGGCTCTGCAGACCCTGGGACCACACACAACCACCTGGCCCAGAGTTCTCCACACTTCGTCACTGTCAGACCCACCAGCACCGGGGTCTGTGCAGCACCTGTATGGCTACCGACATTTTAATTTTTTTTAAGTTAAATTTAAAGAAACTTTTCACATTTACTTAGAGGAATCTTAAGCAATAACATCTCTGGACTTGTGGTTTTGCTGAATTAGGTATATGCTTTCGAGAATGCATGGAAGTAAACATATCACAGTGAAAATAAGAAATTCTCATGCAGATGCTGTCTGAAACCATCTGGTCTTCCTCCAGGGGTTGGGGGTGAGACCCCTCAGCCTGAGAGCGCAGGCTGCTCGGTTCCCACAGGGAGTCTGGAGCTCCGAGAAGGGCACGGCCCAGCTGTGGAGTTAGCAGGACCTGGGTGTCTGGGCACCACCTCTGTCAACGTCACTTCAACAGGGAAGGTCCCGCCCGGGCGGCCAGCACCACAGAAGCGCAGGCTCTGCCCCACACGCCTCCCCGGGGCCCGGGACAGAGGGCTCCCCAGCGTCCCCCACAGGGTGCAAGCAACTCAAGGGTCAGGACTGGGGTTTTCTATGCTCTGCCCCTGGGGCTTTCAACAGCACCAGGACATTGACTGGTCAGGTGCCCTGACCATCAGGTGTCCTGACCAACACCTAACCATATCAGGTCAGGTGCCCTGAGGTTACTGTGGAGCCCTCCAAGGGCCCCCGGAGACCTCTGAGTGATCATTTCCTTCCCACCAGTGGAAAAATCCTCCACGACAGGGAAATCCCCCCCCACCCTGTCTGCTGAGATTCCTCCTCTCCCACTGGGCGTCTCACCCTCCGTGGCAGCTGCGAGGACCCAAACAGCCCAGATCAGGGTCTGGCCTGGGTGCACCCACTCCCCGCTCATCTGGCCGGTCCGCCTGCACTCCCGGACATCCACGGTGGCCGCTGGCCTCAGAGGGCTCTGGTCAGGGACAAGAAAGAGCTGCCTGTGAGGAGACAAAGGCTGAGCAGACAGACTCAGGACACAGGACTGGTGAAGAATAGCATCGCACCAGGATTCAGGAGAGGAATTAGTCAAGCAAGACCTTCCTGTTCTGATTTACAGATTAACTCTTGAGCTGGGGAACAGTCAATTGTTAGGCTTTGGGCTCATAGAAGAGAACTAGATTTGAGATCAGCGAAGCCAGAGACCTCAATTCGGGTGCCTTCAGGGGGCTGGAAGGCAGCAAACAAACAGCACATGCAGCTGGCCCAGGGGAGCAACAAGGAGTGGTGGGGACTGTGGAAAACCACACACACACACACACACTCTGTTTGAAGGGGCAGTGTTCTCAACCTCAGTGAATGTTTGCTTTGTGACAAAGTAGCGAGGCCAAACCAGAAGTGTACAATATTATTCTGTTTTTAAATATGGCCTCAATGAAAACAGTCACGATGGGAGCCCTGTGCATTATTTCTACAGGCTTGAGTTTAAACATGTTTGTTGTCATTGGGGTCAAAGATTTAGGGCTGTTTAGATGAGATGGGGCGCATTCGGGGTGGGGTGACTGCAGACAGACTTAAGGTGTTTTAGACATGGAAGCACTCAGCACGTGTCCGGGCCACAGACTGGGTGGTCAGTAGGGTCTGCTAGATCGGAACCTAAAGACCCACCCACACTCTGTGCTTTAAAAAGCTTTCAAGAAGAATATGACTCACTTTCCTGCCTTTCCAGGTGGGCCCTGCCTATTACCGCCACCCTGCCTATTATGCTTTTGCCCATGGCCTTGAGGCCCTTCACAGGGATCTGGGTTCCATCCTGACTCTTCCTGAGAATCAAGGGTGTCCTTGAGCAAATCTTTCCTTTCCCCCTGGGCCTCAGTCTCCCCCTTTTGATGAGAGTTGTGTCGACATTTTAGGGTTAGGCATTCCAGAGACCCAAATATGAATGAAGTGCCCAGACTGGCCAGAGAACCCTGAGTAGGACAGAGAGGCGGAGAGATTCCTGAGATGAGGAAGAAGGATGCTCCAGGGCAAGGGAGCGGCAGCGAAAAGGCACAAACTGCCCGTTCCGAACAGCATCTCCACGGGCCCTGTGCACCAGGGGCTTCGCTGTCCATTTTGTCAGCAACTTGGAGACTTCTTAGACTATCTTCCTGTCCTAGCCCTCCCCGGTTGCCACCAAAAAGACACTCCCTGCCCTACAACCCTGTCCCCCCATCCAATCAGAAATAGTATGAATCGCCTCTACTGCAACTCACTCAAGTTATTAAAGTGCCTTCACATGTACTATCTTATTGTCACATCTCCCCCTGCCATGCACACATTTTAGGTGTCTTGTTTCTCCAGCTTTTTATCCTCTTAAGTCCAATTCACCTGCCACTTCTTGCGAGACTCTTTCCAAGATTCCCCCAAACGCACTAACGCTTTGCTTTTCCGGCCCCTCCTGTTCCCTAGTCAGTTGGGTACATGATGGCCTTCCTCCCTGAGAGGGCCGTCTCTTCCACCCATGTATCCATCACAGCATCTCCCATGCACCCTGGTATCTGCCCAAACTCGGTCATGGGCCTTCTAGCTTCATGTCTGAGGCTACATTTGTCCCACTCCCACTACTAACTTGACCATCAATATACATAAGATTTTCCTTTATATGGACCTTTAAAAACACTGTTCATTTTCAAAGTAATCATTACATATCTACTGCAATGAGGACAGTGTTTTGAGATCACCTCTAGGATCTTGATGTGCCCATCAGCAGCACAGACCAGTGGCCTGGATGGTCCCTGAGAGCCATGGACCTCTGATGGGTCCTCTCTGTTCTCCCACGTTGCCCTGAGGGAGACACCAGGATGAGAGAGGACCTCAGTCCAAGGCCTGGCTGAAAACATAATCGACCCCTGCTGGTGGACAGTGGAGATCAAAGAGAGACTGAAGGAACCCTGAAGGCATTGGAGCAATGACAGTGACCTCAGCATGGAGACCAGCCTACAGGTGGACAAAACAAAGAGAATGCTCTGGAGATGGAATCAGGTCACTGGGCAATGCCCCTCACACCCCCCATGGGCATCGGGCTGGATCCCTAGAGCTTCCTCTCATAACCTTTCTTCAAGTTCAACTCGCATTCATGTTAAACCAAATGTACTAACAGGATGTTCAAATCTTTTCCCATCTAGTTCCATCCTGTCATTCCCGGTGGCTGTATCACTGCACCCCCATCACTACACCCATCACTGCACCCCATCACTACAACCCATCACTGTACCCCATTACTACACCCCCATCACTGCACCCCCATCACTGCACCCCCATCACTACAACCCCATCACTGCACCCCATCACTGCACCCCCATCACTGCACCCCATCACTGCACCCCCATCACTGCACCTATCACTGCACCCCCTTCACTCCAACCCCATCACTACACCCCCATCACTGCACTCCATCACTGCACCTATCACTGCACCCCCTTCACTCCAACCCCATCACTGTATCCAGTCTTTGGGAATTACCTTTTCCTCTCCTAAAATGTTTTGCTTTGATTTCTTCACCTGGTGAAATCCTACTTATCTTTCAAGACCTATGGAGATACCATGTCCTCCATGCAGAACTCTTCATTCTCAATGCTGGAATCATGCTCTCCTTTCCTCCTGTACATTTGGTTGATGTCTCTGCTATAGTCTTTACAGTACAATGTCTTGTAGCAAACAACACAGTGTGGTATCAACAAAAAAACAGACATACAAACCAACAGAACAGAATGGAGAGTCTAGCAATAAACCCACACACACACAGACAACTAATTTTCTATAAAGGAGTCAGAAGTATTCCTTGGGGAGTGTTGGGACCTCCCATGGAATTTACTGAGTAACTACAATAATATGTTCAAGACTTTGTGAGCAGGAAGGTGGGGGGGAAATGAAGCATAAATTGTGCCCTAGAGAGCTTGGATTCTGATGACGGAATCACCATGCAAATGCAGGTAACGAATAGAAGCTAGGATGTGCTAGCTTCTCCGACTGAGATTTGGACAGGTATAGGGTACAAAGAAAGAAGACGATTAGCTAAGGCAACCCAGAGAACACACGCTTATTTTTCTCCCTTACACTTAGAACTGTTGCATGAATGGCTCCCAGCCCCTGGTCTGGTCCACTCCACAACTTTAAGGGTGCTTTCTCTCCTACCCTCCCACACTGAGCTTCAAACCATGACATCTAACCCCAAGAAAGCTGCAGGGCCATGTCCAGGGAGGAAAGGAGCTTCAACCCCTCTCAGAAGGAAGGTCAGGAATAGGAAAGGGCTCTGCTCAGGTAGGGCAATGAAGGCCCCAGGAACACTCCACATCCCTAGATCAGACCCCACCTCCCCAGGCTGCACCCGGACAAGACCGACCTGCTCCACACTCGTGTGCAAAGAGCTCGCTGCTCTGCTCCACCTTGTGTCTCCAAGGGATTGCTAAGTGCTCTGCTTGCCCGAGGCCTTTGCTGAGAGCATCTAACTTCCAGGGACCACTCCCAAGGTCCTCGGTGACAACCCAAGCACTCTGAGGCCTGCAAGGTTGATGGTGCTGAGGCTGAGAAACCTCGGGCTAAACCCTACAATAGAGCCTGTATTTGACACGTATGTATGACTTATAAAAACAGCGGTTTCACCCAATCCTTATCGGGTTTCTGTAGATTTTGATTTAAGAGTCCCAAAGTGTTCTTCCACATTGCAAACAAACTTAATCAGATCTAAACCTCTCACTGTGCAGATGGCAAGAATGTGTCCCAGAGAAGACAGGGAAGTTCCCCAGGGTCACACAGCAAGTGTGCTGGATCCAGACCTAAACACGGGGCCCTGAGCCCCTGCCCACCCTTCCTGTCCACAACAAAAGCCTGAGCCCACGGCAGCTCAGTTCTCCTGCCACGGGACGTGGCTTCTTCCCAATCTGCTGCTTTGCTGCTGGGCCCAGAAGTTGTTTCGGAGAGGGCTGCTTTCCACCCAAAACTTGGGCTGACATTCATCCACAACTCAAAAGAAAATCTGTTTGCTTAAAAGGGAAGAAAAGAGGAACAAAAGAACCTTATCTCCAAACAGCCATGCAAAGTGAGGCCAGCTGCTGGGAACTCGGCGGGATGAATACCCACTCACGTTGTCGCTGGAGAGAGAAAAGGCCTAAGAGAAGCGTGTAGAGAATGACAAGGCTTCCTTCTCCAGGAACAATAGCTTTGCCTCGGATGGACAAGAAGCTTTTTACTGTGAAAGAAAGAGCCCGGTGTCATCCCATAATAAAGCTGGACAGGGGCCTCCGGGAGTCCAGGGGAACTTGTCCTCCAGGAAAAAATGAAATTGTGATGCCACAGCCACTTCGAGGGGTCAAGGACACACAGCCTACAGCAGAGCTCTGCTTGTCAGTGGGGGGAAGGACCTTGGAGATTGCCCAGGGGGTGAGACGCAAGCCAAGTGAGGCAGGTTTGGGGTGAAGAACCAGAATCCAGCTTCCCCTCACTCTGCGTCCAGAAGCCAGGGTGCCTCGAGGCAGACCACATGCCACCTTGAACGTAACCCACAGACACTCATTTTCGTACAAGGGCACTTAAACCCCATCCGCCCCATGCCTTGCCCAAGTTTTATTGAAACACTTTTCTCACTGAATAATGGGGAAACTGAGGCACAAAGAAGGGGAGGGGGCTCGCCTGAGTCAGGGGAAGGGTTTCTGATTTCTCCCATTTCCCACGAAGGGAGGGGAAAAAAAGCCAGCAAGCGAATACCTTGTCAGCAACCTAGTCAAAGTTTGTTCGCTTGTTTGTTTTAAGGTCTACTATAAAGTTAAACCCCACAGAAACAAAATCCACGTAGCTGCTGACCACATGATTTAGGAAGCAGACTCCCCATCCTCAGAAAGGGAGCCTTCCTCTTACAAGACGCATCCGAGCCTCAGCTCTGGCCTCTCCACGTTTCCTACTGATGGAGGCCTCAGTTGCGCCCCTGGTGCACCCACGCCCGCCCCAGCCCTGGAGGCCTGAAATCACCTGCTGGGACCCGAATTCCTTCTCTTCCCTCTGCCGGTTTCCATGGCGAACACTTCCACCTCCCATTTCACATGCAGGATTTTGGCCAACCCCAGGTATCTTGAAAATGATTTTTCTGACCCCACCACTGCTCACCCTCTTTTCCTCTTATAAACCGATGGATTTTATTTTAATTTCAAGGCTTACAATTGCATGGCCGCTGTTCTGGGACTGTCCGTCTTTTGGCACATGGCTTCAGCAGCCAGACGCAGACCAAATTCCTCATCCACCTTCCTTTCAACAGAGCAAGAGAGAAGCCTTGGTGAAGACTGTGATGGGGAGCGGGGGAGTTCACTCTCGAACGAAGCCACTTCCCTTTGATCTCAGCCCTTTGATTGTGCCTTTGACCGCTGCGTCCTGCTTTGATCTTTCACCTGCCAGCAGCCACCAAAGATTTTCCACGTCCTCTGCTCCGCTCTGTGTGGGATGAAACAGAAATTTCACCACCTGGCAGGCTAGGGGAGCCAGTGGCCGGGCACGAGACGCATGAACATCCACCCTCCCATGGCGACTGGGCCCTCTGGGAGACTATGGCCAAGGCGGGCATAGGCTGGGCAGTAGAAATTTTCTGACGTGCTGCCCTCTGTCCAGTTTGGCCAAGTTCCCAGCAGGGCTACCCTCCACCTTCAGGTGGGAGGTGATGGCTCTTCACCGACCCCCAGAACTGCCGTCCGGAGGACCTGCTCAGAGGAGACATGATGATGAGTGAAAGAAGACATCACTTCGGCTCCTTCTTCCAGCCTCAACCAACAGTCTGTGAAATCGCTGTCTCGTCAAACCCTTCCCCGAAAAGGTTCCCCACACTCACAATGGAGTAGGGTTATGAGGGGTGCCACCCACAGCTGTCCGAGTCCTGGGCCCAGTGAGGTCTGGAGGAGACCCAGAGGACCAGAGGACACAAAGTGTGGCCACTGCCAGATGCAACTTATACCCCTTGGTTTATAGGCAAACGTGAAGGGCATCACCTGGATTCCCACCTCCCCCTGTTGCCTGAAATGCCACTGGAGATTTCTTCTTTACAACACAAGTGCCTTGGAGGAGGGTGAGGGGTAAACCTCAAGGCTTTTGGATGAGGAGGGTGAGTTTTTCAGACGAGAAGACTCCAGGTCAACGTGGAAGTACTGGAAGGAGAGGGCATTCTGGGGGTGGGAGATGAAAGAAGAAGATGAGGCAACAAAGACTAACCGCCTTTTTTGCAATTCTGACACAAGGTCCACCTAGAGGTGGGCCATGTTACAGCTATGCAGTCTTCAGTCTGAACTAAGACCCCTCTGGACGCAGAGCCCTGTACTAGGACCTGGTTTAAAGATATGCAGAGAGCTTGGAAACCTACTGTGCTCCCATACCTGAAACAAGCAGCAAGTTCAGCTCCTGAAGCCTAAGGGGAGAGATGAACTCCTCATGCAAGGTTCCCAGGCTCCGGGACCTGCATCTTGGCTCAGGAAAGCTGCACTATCTGCCTGGGGCTGTGGCCCATCCTGAGCGGCTCGTCTGAGATGGGGCTGGACAGGCATGGGGCACCCTGGCAGCCAGGACTTGTCCGAGTGATTTGCTGGCTCCATCACTTAGTTTGCAATATCTGTATGAAATCAGACCCTCCATACCCCATTATGAAGCCTGGATCTAAAATGGGAACCGAGGGAGCTGAATGAAAGCAACACACACACACATACACACCCACACACACAAACACTCAGAGAGTGATGAGCACAGAGAGAGAGAGGAAAGAATATAAAAACTCTCACCAAAAACTCTAACACACACAGTGTCATGGAAAGGCAGCCAACAAACACAACAAGTCTGGAAATTACACAAGCAAAGGAAGGAAAAAGAAGAGAACAAACAAAACATTAACAATCAAACAGAAGGCAGGACAAAGAGAAAGATGGACACACACGATGAGGCTGTAGAAATAAAACCAAATATAACAGTGATCACAATAAATGTAAATGGCTTAGAATCACTTATTAAAAGTTGGAAGACACTAAAAGATGTGAGATTTTATATATATGTATATCAAATTCAACCATGAGAAAGAAGAGTACCTTGTCCTTGACCTTGAGCACATATTGACTTTGTCCTAAGTGAAGGAAGTCCAACAGAGGAAGACAAGTACTATGTGATATCACTTAGATGCGAAATCTAAAAAGTCGAATTCACAGAAAACAGAGAGTGAAATGGTGGTTACCAGAATTGGGGGGTAGAGAAATAAGACTGATGTTGTTTAAGGGTACCAACTTGCAATGAGTAGTAAATAAGCCATAAAGATTAAATATGCAATATAGTGAATATAGGCAACAATATTGTACTACAATCATCAATCTTGCTAAGACACTAAAACTTAATTATCTTGATTTACCATTAAAAAGGGTAATTATGTAACACGATGGTGGTGCTAACTATTGCTACAAGGACAATACTATTACAATACAAACTATATCAAATTAGCATGTTGTACAACTTCAATCTACACATGTCAAATACCTTCAATTAAAAGAAAGCTGGAGGTTGTCAGATTAAACTTAAACCTAGCTAGATGCAGCTTACAAAACATATACATCAATTAAAATAAGAAAAGGCTTGAAAATAAAAGGGTAGAGAAATATGTTTCCTAATATTGAAATCAGACAAAATGGAATTTAAGTTGAAAAACACACACAAGGATAAGAAAGAACTTGATGAAAAGAGCCCATCAAGAAGTTCTTGCAATCACCCAATGACCTATAAGTGCCCAATAACGTAGCTTCAAAATACATAAAGCACAACCTGCCAGAAAAGTAAGGGGGGGGAAGTAGTAAGTTAACAGGCAAAAATATGGAGAAGCTGGAAAAGTCTATGTCACAGTGAGTATATCTCATTATTCAGGGAAGGAGAGTGAGGCTGAAAACACCCAGGGACTTGCCTAAATGACACGGCCTACTAAGTGAGTTGGCGTTGAACCCAGGTTTGTCCGATGACTCCGAACCACCACATGGCACTGTTTCTTGACTCTTGAAGTGAAAACACTCAGCTGGCCCAGCATAAGAGCAACAGAGCCCCCGTCCTTCAAGTCTCAGGCCAGGCCTCCCTTTGCTCCCAGGCAGAAGTCAGCACCCAAGTTTCCAGTGTATACCTTCCCATCCACTAGACAACAGGGAGCGCCGCAAGACCGGCAACTTGTCTTGTCCTTCTCTGAATCCTCAGCTCTGGACTCATTTAGGGTATCGGGATGTTTTATTCAATTGAATTGAACAGACTGGCAAATGAAGGCAAATTCGATCACACCCAACATACCATCCAGGCAAACAGAGGCACCTGGCCACTCGACTCTCAAGTTTTATGACCTGTCTTTCCAAACAGGCTGCGAAATGAGCCAGTGGCTCAGGACCAGGTCTTCCTCCCACAGCAGCAAAGTCCCGCCCTGGCCGCCCACGGTGCCCCTGGCCCCAGCGTCCAGGCCCCTGCCACACAGGCGACTTCCTCTGCAGACAAGTCATGGATTGTCCCCAAGGTGGCCTCATAAAGGGAGGGGAGTTTTATGGTTAGGGCCTTCTAATTCCATTTTCTTTTTCTCTAGGCCACCCTAGCACCCCACAAAAGGTCTATAAATCTGATATTAAACGCGATTCTTTCTCCTACGCCAAGATCAAATCTCAATTTCTCCCTCTCCAGGAAAGCTTCTCGGACGGGTTCCTCTGTGCTCTCCAAGAAGGTCTGGAATGTGAACAGGGTTGGGACTTAACATCCAGCTGCTGACCCAGAGCCCTCGTGACTCCAAAGCCATTCCCACCATAGAGAACAGAGAACTCAATAATTAATTGAGAAGTGGGACGGAAGAGATGTTTTTATTTGTTAACTGCCTGGGAAATCTTTTGATGCTTTTACACATGCTACCTCATTTTTTTAAAGATTTTATTTATTTATCTTTAGAGGGGAAGGGAAGGAGAGAGGGAGAGAAATATCAATGTATGGTTGCCTCTCGTGTGTCCCCTGCTGGGAACTGGCCTGCAACCCAGGCACGTGCCCTGACTGGGAATCAAACCTTGATCCTTTGGTTCACAGGCTGGCACTCAATCCACTGAGCTACACCAGCCAGGGCCACATGCTATCTCATTTAATCATTGCAACAACACTCCCAGGACATATTAGCGACTCCATATCACCTATGACAACACTGACACTCAGGGAAGTCAAACCCCTTGTCCGGGCCCACAGGGGGAGGCAGTAACAGATGGGAGCTGAATTCAGGTCTGTCTGCCTCAAGGGGGCTGCAGTCTCAGACTGCACAGGCAGTACTGTCCCCGGACTGTAACAGACGGTCAATGCTGGGCTCCCTCTGAGGGTCACTCCCTGGGCACCAGCAAGAAGCTTGGGCTTCACGAGACAACACCTTACTGAGATCAGCCCCGTTTCCTGGAAAGAGCATTTGAGGAGAGGGACATTGATTGGTGTGGGTGGTAATAATACTTATTTGTCTGTAATTACTCCTTGAATTCCAGGCAAAACGGGCCCCACTGAGCTGCAGCTGTGCAAAACATCTGGATTCCCCCACACAGCCGAGTCGGGAACGGGGTGGACAGGAAAGGAGCTGAGTGGGTGCAGAAGGATGTCTCCACTCAGTAAATATTTACCAAGTCCCTGCTTCGCACCAGACCTTGGTGGGAAGGGAGAGGAAAGGTATGAAGCTGGATAAAAATGCAGTTTCTTTACAGATCAATTACATGTATACTTAAAAATGCAACAATTAAAAAAATAACAGTGGCTTCCTGCTTTGAGGGAAAGAGCAGGCAAATGAACAAAACCCTCAGCAGACTGATGCGACACCATAATTGAGGTGTGCTGGGGAGCTGGTGAAGACTTTCCAGCAGAGCTAGCTTTTAAGCGAGGCCTTGCAGGCTGGGTCCATCAAGTGGACGAGAAGCCAAGAACTGGGGAGGCAGTCCAGACAGCGGGGTCAGCCTGGGGAAAGGCTGTGAGGTGCAAGTTGAGCATGGTGTGCAAGAAGTTCACTATCTGACATGTCCAGTGCCTGGCCACATGCTGGCTGACAGACCTGTGTATTTCTCTGTGCCTCAGTTGCCTCTTTTTCGAGAGAGAATAATAGTTTCTAACCATAAGGTTGTTGTAAAGATTAAATGTTATTATGTGTTTACCGCACAATAAAACCTAGCTACTTTTCATTTGCTTGATGTGGGATTTGAGACACATCATACTCTGCAAGAAACTGCCCATCATCCCTCGTTCTGCCCCACCCACTGGGTCCCTCCTCTCCCACCCGCCCCCTCCATATCCCAAACAGCTTTTGGAAAACGGACATGAATATTTCAGTCCCATCAGCCTTCCCAGGCCTTCAGAGGCCTGGGACTGACCAGCTGGCCGCCGACTGGAGTTGGCATTGCATAACTGTCCCTTCCCCCCCCCCCCGCCCCGTCCCCCGC